ACAATAAAAGAAAACAATTAAAACAAATAACTTAGGAAAAAAATTAAAAAGTGAATTATGTGTGGCCCCGACAGTAGGCCTCTCCCCCCCTCCATTCCCCTTCCCCGACCATTTGTCCGCTAGTGGTGGATATTCCCACCCACATTTAGGGATGGCAACAAAACCCGAACCCACGGGTACCCACCCGACCAAACCCGGTCAACGCGGGTAAAATCCGTGTTGACGGGTTTTGGGTCAGGTTTGGGTTTAAACCCGTTCACTATTCACCGGGTTGGGTTGGGTTTGGGTTTTTAGGTAAACCCGGCCCATGGGTACCCGCCCATACTCATATAATTAATTTTCTCGGTATATTTAATATTCCAAACAACTAATCTTATTTATGTTTGTGGAGACATGTCTAATTTTTTCTTTCTAATTGTGTAGAATGAAGTTGATGTTATCGAGTGGAAAGTGAAGAAACTTAATTGAAAGGAAGAAACTTTCAATTAATCATGTTATTTGTGGATAATTTGTGATTGGCTTCAATTTTCTTGAGTTTTCTAGATTGGTGTTGAACAATTTGTATAGTTAATTTGTGATTTGCTTGAATTTCTAGAATGGTGCTTTATATATGGATAATTTGTATTGAAAGATTGATATTTGACTTTAATTTTGATAGGAACATGTTATTGTAAATTTTTTACGACAAAAACCCGTGGGTACCCATGAACCCGCGAATACCCAACAGATTGGGTTTGGTTTGAGTTTTTCAAACCCAGTGAGTTATACCCCGGGTTTTTTTCACGAATAAAACCATAAGTTTGAATTTGGCAAAACCCGACTCATTGCCATCCCTACCCACATTTTCCACTTTTCTCATTTTTTCCCTCCCACATTGTGGAAACATTTCCCACATTTCCCATTTTACCAAACCAGACTGTGGGTGGTTTTAGTGACAATATTTAGTAGGAAGGATGCCTCCTTCGGATGCCTTTACCCATTTGGTTTTGGGTCATTCGCCAAAGGTTGCTATCATTACTATCGCGTTTGCCCTGTAGCCAGGAAATGGCTTCCTTAATAATAATATACTTGTACCAAGTTGCTTCTTGGGTGGGAGTCTTTCCACATGGAAACCTTAAATGTTTGAGAGCAAGAAGAATGGGAATGCGAATGGGATATGATACCAAACAGAAGACTGAACTTTGGACACCTTGTCAAGTTATTATCGGTACCAGCCAACTACTCCTACATGCCCAGATGCGAGGGGCAGTACTGGAGGATAATGGAGTCATGAATTTGTTTGCAAAATTCGAGTCAAGCAGGTACGTACACTGAACAAAATGGAGACACAAATTAGTTACAGAACACGCATTAATAATGTGTAATCAATCATATATCATCAAGTACTACTAGTGTATGAAATTTTGGGCCAACCCCTCCAAGCCAATTTTCCCAAAACTAGTTGCTTCAACTCAATGGCAAACACGCAGGCAGAGGATATTGCCTCCTCCTTTCTCCCAACAACTTGAGTTATTGGGACCAACTGGTTTATGACACGTTTGATGCTGAAGCTGAAGCTAACAACTGGTGTGGTTCGCGCCGGACAGAAGTGACCTACGTTGTTCGTTGGAAAGAGAACCAAACTAGATTCATCGTCGAGTAGACCGGCAAACTTAGTAACATGATTCGCACAATCATGTTTCAGAAAACACGAGGTATATGGTCGAGTGTTTATCGGGTCATTCGCCCAAATATTTTGGAAACGATGATACAGTTGGTTGCCCATCCAACAAATGAGTGTCATGTGAACCATGATGAATGTTTCGAAAAATACGAGGTATATGTTCGAGTGCTTATCAAGTCGTTCGCCCAAATGTTTTGGAAACGATGATACGGTTGGTTACCCATCCAACAAATGTGTGTCTTTTTTTTTATAAGAACCTGCACGTCAGCTTTATTACGACGAAAGAGAGGTTACATCATCACTAGCAAGCTGATCCAACAGATTCCGCGGAGGTCTATCAAACCATACATCCGCTATATCCCATCTCGCTTTCGTATGCGCCATTAAGTGAGCCGCCTCATTAGCCTTCCTACTTACATACTGCACTTGGCCATCACCAGTCTCAGCCGCCAACCTCTTTATGTTCCTAAGAATCGTGCCCAGCTCTGTTTGGACTCTCTCCGGCGCGGCCAGCCTGTTAACAACCACCTGGCAATCTGTCTCCACAATGGGTGAGGCCATCTGGTGTTGTCGAGCCAATTGCAATCCAAACTCCACCGCCATAGCTTCTCCCAGAGTTGGATCACGTACTCCTGTAATTCGTTTTACCGCCGCCAAAATGAATGCGCCATTGTGATCTCTAGCCACCACACCAAGCCCCGCTCCTGTATCATCCAAACCCACGTCCGTATTAAGCTTTACTCTTCCAGCTGGTGGCCGCGCCCAAGTCTGATTCACAGGTGGAGTTGGTGTATGAAATCTCTCCTGCTGCTGGTAGCGATATTCCTCCAGGTATAGCTGTGCTCGGGGGCCTAAGTCACACTCCTCCATCTTCTTCCCATTAAAGAGGTGTGTGTTGCGCTCTCTCCAAAGTGCCCATAACAGAACAGTCCACTCTTCAAGTTCACTCACCGGAACTGTCTTGACTACATTTCGAACCCAATCCATGCAATTGCTATCGCCTCGCAGTTCAAAACAGCGAGCCACCCCTGTCGACCGCCAAATCCTGCTCGCCCAGGAGCATTCAAAAAATGCATGGCTCTGCGTTTCGTGTTGGTCGCAAAAGGGGCAAGCACCACTCCGCTCCGGATTCCTCTTATTCACCCTCTCCCCCGATGCTAGTGCCTCCCTCGTAAACCTCCACATAAACACTTTGATTTTCGGTGGCAAGTTAAGCGACCATAGCAATTTCCAAAGAGCCGGGTCTCCCACACTACGAGAGTCATGTTGTTCCTGGAACCTTCTCAACCATACTTGATATCCACTCTTAGCAGTATAATTCCCATCATCATTGTCCATCCATATCAGCTTATCTTGTTCAGTTGAGTTGCGAAGGGGAATTTGTTTGATCGCATCCACCATATCACTAGGGAAACAACTTTCCAAGATCTTCTCATCCCATTTTTCTTCCTCCTCATCAATCAGCTCCCGTACAACCGAGTCAACCGGGAGACCCATCGGTGGAGAATGAGCAATATTGTTCGGAGTCGAGGGCAGCCACCGATCCCCCCAAATTCGGACAGCTGATCCGTTCCCAATTTTCCATCTAAGGACATCCACTAAGAACTCCTGAACGCCCATCAGACTTCTCCACACATAACTGGGCCGATAGCCAATGCGTGCCTCCAAAATATTGACATTCTTATGATACTTCGCTTTCATGATACGGGCTACTAGGGACTCGGGGCGTTGATGGAGGTGCCATAGCTGCCGTGCTAGTAGAGCTATGTTGAAACCCTTCAAGTCTCTGAAGCCCATCCCACCCTGTTCCTTCGTACATATCAGCGATTCCTTGCTACCCACGGAGTCTTTCTCTCTTCACCTCTCTGCCCCCACTAGGAACGGGTAATTAAACCATGTATCTCATCAAGAATACCATCGGGGACCTTGAAAACCGACATAGTATATGTCAGTTGGGCTTGAGCAACTGATTTTATTAAAACTTCTCTTGCAGCAGCAGACATCGATCGCTCTTTCCATCCTGCCAACTTCTTCCGGACCCGGTCTTTCAGATAGAGGAAAAGAGCCTTTTTAGATCGTCCAACTTCAGTCACAAGACCTAGATACTTATCATGTTTTTCCACCACCTTCATCCCCAATAAAGAGCTCACCACTAAACGCTGGTGTGTTTTCACATTCGCACCGAACGTCACCTCCGACTTTTCCAAACTGACCAGTTGGCCGGACTCTTTTTGATAATCCGCCAGCACTCTCCTCAACTCCGACCCTCCTTTTCTGTGGCTCTAGCAAAGAAGATTGAATCATCTGCAAAAAAGAGATGTGAAATAACCGGGGCACCCCTAGCAACCGAAATCCCATGGAGCTTCTTCTGCCGGACCGCAAGAGATGTATAGCACGATAAACCCTCCGCTACCAGAAGGAATAGATATGGTGACAAAGGGTCCCCCTGTCGTAATCCCCTGCTCGGATTAAACGTCTGTGACCTATGACCATTAACCAAAACCGCATAAGACACTGATCGCACACACAGCATTATTAAGCGAGTCCACCTATCCGCAAAACCCAGCCGCTTCATAATCCCTTCTAAGAACCACCACTCCACCCTGTCGTAGGCCTTAGCCATATCCGTCTTTGCCGCCAAATACCCCTTCTTATTCTTTGTCTTCCTCTTCATAGTATGAAAGCATTCGAAAGCTGTCATAACATTGTCTGCTATAAAACGCCCCGGGACAAAAGCACTCTGTTCCGGTGAGATGATTTTATCTAATAATACCTTCAGTCTGTTTGCCAAGGCCTTCGATAGTATCTTATACATCACGTTACATAAACTGATGGGTCTATACTCCTTCGCCATAGTCGGATCCTTTACCTTCGGAATTAAAGCCAGTAGTGTATGGTTTAGGTCTTGTGGCATCACTTCATTCTCCACCACCCCAAGCAACAGCTGAATAACGTCATTGCCAATAATATGCCAATACTTGAGGAAGAAAAGAACAGACATTCCATCAGCTCTCGGTGCTTTCCTTGTACCCATCTGCTTAAGAGCACCGAATAGCTCCTCCCTAGTCAGTGGCTTCAATAGCTCGTCATTCATCTCGTCTGATACTCGGTTACCCACGGATTCCAGTACTGGGGTTATCGCCGGACGTTCACCTGCAGTGAAAAGATTAACAAAATAGTTAGTAAAACACTGTAGGGCCTCCTCCGTTCCCCGCCACCACGATCCCGATTCGTCCCGGATCTTTCGGACTGTATTTCTCCGTCTTCTTGCAGAGGCCTTGCGGTGGAAAAAATTTGTGTTCTTGTCCCCTCCCCGAAGCCAGTCCGTCCGGGACCTTTATAGCCAATAGATTTCTTCATCACACTCCAGCTCTTCGAGTTCCCGTTGCAAGGCTTGTCTTTGCTCCATCACATCCACCGTCTTTACTCGGTGTTCTAGGGCTTTCATGGCCCTCTTGATCTTCTCCTTCTGCCTTCGGAAATTTGGGAAAGTGGCTCGGCTCCAGTTAGTCAATTTTGATTGAACCCCGCTCAACTTCGAAATTGCGTCACCCGGAGAAGAATTCCAAGCTTCCTGTATCTGTGCAGCGCATCCCTCATGTTTTGCCCAGAGAGATTCAAATCGGAAGGACCACCCCCATTTGATCTCCTCATCTTCCTCGCCCAAAGGGTCACAAATGATGGGACGATGATCGGACCGCAGTAAATCAAGATGAGAAACACGGGCCTGCAATTTCATGCTTCGCCATCCCTCATTTGCAAGGAACCGGTCGAGCCTCTCTTCAATATATCCTCCCACTCTTCGACGATTCTCCCAAGTAAATGGGTAACCTCTGAACCCCAAATCGAGTAACCCTGCCTCTGCGAGACAATCAGTAAAAGCGCCCATTTCTCTTTCCTGACCCGGACAACCACCTTGCTTCTCCGCATCCGTCATAATGTAATTAAAATCACCCCCGCAAAGCCAATGGCTATTCCAATCTTCCTTCAGGTTATGGATGAGCTCCAAAGTTTGATGTTTCTCCCCACTCTCAGGCCACCCGTAGACCCCCGTAAATCTCCAACTTCCCTCCAACCTTTCCTCTATTCTAAGATCAATGAAATGACCATCGGCATTCATGACCTGTGCATTTATCTCCTCTTTCCACCATAACGAAATGCCTCCAGCTCTTCCTCCTGGCGATGTATCACACGGCCAGCTCGTCCCGAATTTAAAACCCATCTCCACTCGTGTCTTCTCGTTCTCTTCCCGAAGTTGTTTCGTTTCCATCAGAAAACAACCTGGGGGGAAACTTGCCGCATAAGCGACTTAAGGGATCCAACTGCTCGTGTGTTTCCCAAGCCACGGCAGTTATAGCTTAATAGCCTCATTTATGACCCGAAGGGGATCGATTCCCCGCACCCTCAGCCTGTAATTGGGATCGATGCCCCCCCCCCCCCCCGACTCTTTCCTTATAGTTTTACTCTGAGTAGCCTCACCCTTCCGATTTTCTTTCTTTCCATCACCATCTCCTTGCCTCGAACTGATACTCCCCTCCAACTTTTTGTTTTGTGGCTTCGTTTGTTTTTCTGGAACCTGCACCTTCGCTATATAGGACTCCTTGTCTCTCCCTGGCATTGTCGGGCCTGAATTTGGCCTCGTCGAGTTCACCGCGGCCGAGGTCTTTGGCTCTGCATGTGTATTTATCACTTCTGCATGGGGATGTTCACGTGTTACCTTCCCCGCCTCTCGTTCCATTTCCCGTTGCCTCGCTACCTCATTTGCCTCAGTTCCCTCCACATCCACGCTCTCCTCATTCTTCCCTTCTTCCGCCAGCTCCTGGAACCTATTTTTTGTAAGATTTCCCTCCAACCTCCCTCCTCTACCTTCTTTCCTCCCCTTAAATCGGCTATGTGTTTTAGCCTTCATCCACTCACCATACGTCCGGCCCTGGGAGGGGTCTTCTCCCCTTGTAGTCTTCTCATTCATCATCCCTTCTGTCTCCATCTCTACCCCCGTAGGGTGGCAGTGACATTTGCCGGCTGACTTCCCATAGGTTCCACAATCGGTACACAGATCATCTAACCCTTCATACTGTACCAAGTATGTCACCCCCTCGATTTTAAATTTTGAAATCAGAGGCTGGGTAAGATCAACCTCAACACATATCCTAGCATACTTGCCCCTAGCTCCCAGTTCGGTGGCTCGATCAACTCTAACAGGTTTTCCCAACCATGCTCCAATCTTCATAACCGCTTCTTTGTTGATAAATTCTATTGGGAGCTCCGGGAGTTGCGCCCAAACCATCGTTGACTTCACTTCTGTTGTCAAAGGATTAAAGCCCTTGAACCACCGATGAACCGTCATATAGGTATCACCCAGTAGCCAAGGCCCTCCCATGGTCGCGCCTTCATAATCCTTTTGACTCCTTAAACGAACTAGGAAGCAACCATTATTCATGTCCGAAATCTGTATCTCCCCGTTTCTTGCCCATAAAAAATTGAGACGACGAGCTAACGGGACGGGATATATGACACCCGCCGCCCGAGCCCTTTGACGACCAAAGCCGACCTCCACTCCCTACGCCATTTTATTTTTTCAGCTGCCCTAAAAGGGATCGTAGGGCATGTAGGGTCCTCATCGTCCTCTATCTCATCATCCATCTCCTTCTCCTTCATGGCCACGTCTTCAGAATCAGAATCGGCCACATACCACGTATCCTGTTGCAACACCTCGCTCAAGCTTTTCCCCTTCACTCCCTGCCAGGCTGAGGCCTTCCCGCTCTCTTCCCTTTCTGCCTCCATCTCTCTATCAGTGGCCCCTTCACCCTCCAACCCCGGGCCAGACATGTTCAGTGCTCGGACTCTCTTTTTTGGATGGACTGTTTCCTTAGCGCTCTTCCCGGCCGGAGTAGAGGAGCCTTCCGAGGGTCTCCTCACCCCACTAGTATTGTCTGGGGGCTTACCCGCTCCTGCCGACGTCGCCGACGGCGAGTGCGTCGCCATCGCAAGCGCAAAAAACCCTAGCAGTCGCTCGGTAAGTTTTTCTCGCAACTCTGAAAATCTCGGATGGCTTATTTTCCACCGTTATACAAATGAGTGTCTTATGAACCAGGATGAATATGTATTCTAGGATCTTACATTTGGGCCCTCATCTTGTATGAAATAATCAATAAAAAAAGTAATTATAACTAGTTGCAAATTAGTGGATAAAGAGTTCAACTGCACAAATAATGATTTTCAATGATAAATTATGGCTAAACTACTAATAGATTATTAGTCTTATAGGATCATACACATGATTCTTTTTTTATAAATCATAATATAAAAAATGTACGACAAATATACTAAAAAATAAATATATAGTGGGTAAAAACAAGAGGAATCTTCCACTTTTTGGCATAGGTTGGACAGAGGTTTGACGGTAATTTCGAGAGAGTAAGGTACCCAACTCAATGAAAAATTTCTTGGATGGACGATCGGATCTGAGTATCTAACAACCTCGCCCAAATTGATATCGGTCTATCAGCATCAACTTGCTACCAAGATACCAGTGTCGACTAGTAGAAAAAACCTTTGTGAGCCGATCGGCCACCTGGTCTTCGGTGTGTATATAATGTAGATTGACAGTGCCATCTCGGACAAGATCTTGAATATAATGAACATGAATCTCGATGTGCTTCGTCCACACTCCCTCAAATGAAAACCACTCATATAGGGTTGAAGTTTGCACAGGTCCGTACACTATGTGCTTAACAGAACATATGAGAGTCATCGGGATTAGAATAGAAGACCTTTCGATCAAACCAAGCTCAGATACCATGTCAAGAATTAGTTGTTCTCAATAACTCGAGTCATTGAGATTTAATTATAGATCATATACCATCTAGTACCAATTGCTCCCGTACAAACAATAAACATCACTCTTATTTTCGATGGATCACTTTTTGTTCATTTATCTTTCAAGCGAACAACATAAATCGCTTCTGTTTGGCACGAACCGCTAACTAGTTTGCTCAAGAGTGAGACGAACCTTTTCAAACTCTAATATTTTGGAAATTTTGTAGTTCAACGGTTGTATTAGAGAAATTTCTTTTGTATCTTATACATTTTGGGAAAACTTCTCCTTTCTTTAGGGCTTCACAAATATGGAGGACTCACATCACATGCATGTTAGTCGGTGCCAGGGACAGCAACCTACTTCCTCAGGATTGGCTGGTAAAAATACCGAGCTTCATGACCATAAAAACAACTGCTACACATTAAAGTTTTTTGTACCATTTCTGAGTCGGGTCATAAGCAACCAATACAAAACAGAGCTAGCTCCAAATTCTCTTTTCCATCTTTGCTGTGACTGTTCCCTTGTCTAGTGTTTTTCCCATATAGTCACCACCACAAACAACAAAGAGTAGTACTACGACTGGCAGAAAGACACCTTGCATGTTTCAATACTGGACATCATTGCACCAGGTAGATACATCAGCTAATGAAGAAATAGCAGAGCACAACAAAAAAACATCAAGCAAACAACCACCAAGAAAGCAGTAACTTTACCCCCACTCTGCACCCTTTTTTAAACCTAGCAGAAATGGGGACTCAATCATCCTCACCCACCTGTGTTTTCCCCCCCATCTGACACCTTTTGTTTGGTTCTGCTGCAGATTTGTTCCTGCTGCAAAACCCTTTTTTCACTGTGGAGGGGGTGAAAAAGTGGGGAAATGATTTCCCATTTCTCAATCAATCATTTGCTGAATGAATTGCTTCCTTCTTTCTTGGTGTTGCATTTGCATGGCCAACAAGAGGAGTTGGGGACAGCAAGAGAAGAGAGGGTCTTTGATGGTTCCCCTTTCTTTTCTTCCTCTTTTCCTTTTCAAAATGGCTGGCCCTGGCCCCTCTTTTCCATGTGCTGGGCATGTGGGCTGTTGGCTAATGCCCCTTTCCATTTCATTTACGCACTCACACCGCCACCAGGAATATTGGAAGGTCGCCACTTGGTACATGAATCGTGATTATGACATTGCACCATCGCTCCCTGTTCATCAGCAGAATATTTCCTTTCCTCAGCAGAATATTGCCTCGCTATTGCACAGTAATTTGGTGAGTTCAGTGCCCTGAAAAAAGTCATCAGGCCACTCCCATGAGAACAGTTTAACAAAATTTTATTTCCGTACAAAACACAGAAATTCGTGTTAGAAATGTCATATGAAAAGTTCGTGTCACGGGTGCGATTTGTAACAAAAACTCCGTTTTTTCAGTGTGGAGCAAGGTTGTCAACTCGCGAGTCGACACACTTTGACCCTGACCCGGTGATAAAAACGGGCCGCACACACCCGCCGGGTCGACCTCTATACAGTATCGGGTTGAAGGTCAAATTGTATCATTTTTTTCTTTGGTTTGCGAAATGCGCATATTTTCCGATTTTTCTTTTCGCCTAACTCAAACTTTGGAATCCTAAGTTGAATATTTGAATATTGATGTATATAAGTGTGTGTGAATTTTCACTTTATGCTAGATCTAAGTACGATATGTTATTTTGGTGTAATATTATATGTTATAAGTCATATGTTAGATAATATTTAATATAATATATAAGGAAAAGTACGATATAATGACTCTTTCCATATTTCCGGGCTAAACCGGGCTAAAACGGTTGACCCATTAATCCTTGACCCACTAACTTGATCGGGTCCGGGTCAACCCGCGGGTTGACAACCTAGATGTGGAGGAAACCCCTATTGGTAACTATTGTTATTGGTAGGTGGTGCCAGAGTTTCTCTAGGATCAAATCCACACCTCAAACAAGTACAGGGAGTGAATTTTTTAGCTCTGGCAACTTGCAATTAAGAATGTCCCCGGAATCAAATTTCCGATTACCTGCTTAAAAAACAGGCACAAGTTGGTACAGATAGTTGGCCCTCCAGTCATTAAGTGAAGTGGGAACAGAAAGAAGATTGAAGCACAAGAATGCAAACGAAGCTACAGGGTACATCCAAAATACTTGAGATCATTGATGAGATGGGTCATTTAAGAGATTACTAAATTATGCTTTTGGATACTTTTTTTCCATTCTGATGTTCAAGTAGGACTTGGATTCAATAATTTTATCAGTGGGGACATTAGGCTTTGATTAGATGGACCAGAAGACAATGAGGTTTCAGACGATCTTAGGCTATATAGTCTATAGTCCTTATCTGCCATAGGACGAGAAAAAGACTAGGGCCTAAGTTAATTGTCAGTTTGTTGAGCAATTGATTGTTATTTTCGTTGACTTGCCTTGCAGGATGATGACGAAGAACTCTACAGGTAGGAACTCATGGTGGCACAACTTTCACGTCCTCACTGGCTTCACCTACAGAATTCTTTGTGTCGGCAAGCTCTTTCAAGACCTATTCATTAGAAGAAACAGTTCTGTGTAACGTGTGGGGTCTATGTAAATAAGAAATGCAGTAGCAGCGTGATTTCTGTAGAAAGTAACAACTTACTTGGTAGAGTTGCCAAGAAGCAAAAAAACATCTATAGCTGCATACTGCTGTTGCTCCTTTGATAGAGATTTAACTTCCCAGTTCCCCAGTCTGATCTTGTTCGGTTTCGGAAGCTACAAAGTATAGTTCATTAGCTAGTTAGAATACCTTATTGACGCATTTGCTTAAGACCACAGCCCAAAATGACATTGGAGGATAGAGGTTTCCAGTTGAATCTCGGAGTAGTTTGTTCGTTTGATAAACTGCTGAGCTTAAATGGGCGAATTTGCAGAAGAACGAAGACATGATGTAAAAAGAAGGCAGAGAACATTAGTTTAGAGGGGGAAACCACAAGCAAAAGCACAGGTGCTGGAGGATCTTGCGAAGCAAGGGAGAGAGACCATTAGTCTGAAAACCATCATGCTGACGCAACCTTATTTCCTAACTTATTCTGAGTGCAATGTTTGTTAGTGAGGGTCCAGAATCTACATAAGTTCCCCCTGTGGGTGGTTCTAACAATGTCCACAGGATAACTACCAACGCCAAAGTTTGTCTATATTCGCGTCAATGCAGTTCATTTGTTGGGTATGGATGCTATATTTGTACAAAATCCAGAAGCAAGTTTTACTAACAAGAGTATAAAGCACAGTATCGCGGTTAACCTGATGTTAGATCTGCAAGGATATACTGGTTAAGTTCCCCACTGATGCAAATGCACAATTCCTATATCCCTAACTGAACACTCCATATGTGCGTTACAAAGGAACACTGGAAAGTTCTCAATCGATGCGCATATTCACCATTGCTATTCCTATATCCCTAAGTAGATTTTGATTTTCGTTATCTCAACTTAAACTTCAAAGGGAGATGATGCATGAAGATACACAAACACACAAGAGATGCCATCTAGGATTGACTGCAGAATGTGTAGTAATTTTTCAGTAGGTAGACAGGAAAATGTGAAGGTACCTCTTTGGAAACAAGCATCTCAGTTAAAGCTTTAAGACTCCAATTTCCGGGTTCTCCGCCAAGCTTTTGATTTGCTAGAGATGAAAGATCCTCCACAGCTTGAACAGAGACATTATAATCTTTAAAAACCTTCACACAGTCCTTGCCAATCCCAACTCCAACCTGCAGAGGCATCAGAGCACGGCAACATAAAATACATCTATAATCTGGGTGTCAAAATAGAAGAGAAAAGGATGGATACAGAAAGATGTTTTGTACTTTCACAAGTGTAGGATGTAGTTAAAAGAATTCCGGAATGAAATATGTGCATCACGTAGCATTGACCAGTATCTGCACACAACTGCATAACAGCAACCTTTCTAGGAAGAATACCTGTAGTAGCATGGTTCAGACAATATGTTGCTTAGTTAGTTGTTATGAAAAAGAGACAGACTTTCCCAGTCTCGACAAAACTATTGACAGCATCTGAAAGATACACAAGATAATATCAGATAAGAACATGCCTTTTCTGAATGTTGGCTTCCACTCTATAAAAACCCAACAGCAACTTGACCACTTAGCTTCAAGGCTCCTTAGAAGCTCCCTTGCAGCCTTTTCACCTCCATTGAGGTTCTACTGTAAGAAATTCGACCTCTAAATTTGATTGCAGGGTACCTCATTTTCACATCCGCTGCAGTAGAAAGCATGATAAAGCAATTCCACCAGATTATAAGCAGGTGGCAAAGGACATAAAGAATCACTGGAGCGCCAACAATGGGAAGCCTAAAAGAGCATGAATTGAACCAATTTCAAGCGAAGTTTCCACCCTTCAATAATTGGTCGGATAGGCTCTGTTCAGTCTACTTAGGGAAACGATAGTGCAAAGGAATCGTTCAACAGAGAGCATATACAGAAACGAAAGAGGATTGTGAAATGAGCGAGCACCTTAACAAAGAGATAGGGGAAATGGTGTGAAGAGATCGAGCATGGAGCTGGGCAATCGTCGGCAAGGTCTTTTGCTATCTTGATCATCTTCTCCTGGTAACTAGGGATTCTCTGCAGAGTGAACTGGAAAAGTTAAGGGATGAGCTAAGGTACATGGAAAATGATCTGCAGCACATTCAGCTACGCTGGCATGGTCTAAGGGAGGAAAAGGTTGCTGCATCAAACATATTACGTGATGTCAAAAGGCTAGAGGAAGAGTTGGAAAGGTTGGCTGAGGAAAAAAAATCAAGCTGAGCTAGGTGAGAAGGTTGTATTTCATACCTGGAGGCTGGATGTTGTTAATTGCTTTCTATTCTTGTGAATATCTGGATTTGTGTTGAAAACACAGAAGAATGTCTTGATTTATGAGTGAAGTTACTGGAAAACTTATCAACTCTGACTGTAAGACAAGTTTGAAGTTGTGAACCTTAAAACTAGAGTAAAGAGATAATTTGTCTGTCTGAAACGTGAGAGTGCTTCTAAGAGCCAAAAAGCATGCGCTCAACTTGAATAGTGGAGTGCCTAAAGTAAGCCAGCTCATCGAGCTCGGTGTTCTAAAAAAGACTCGGATTTGCAGTGAAATGCAGAGAGTGGAAGTGCTTGGAGAGGAAAGCAGAGGAAGGGATTCGCAAGCTCAATCGTTTGATCAAACTGCAAAAGCCAATCGTTCGACCAAGACCAGCTAAAGCTAAACCGGTCAGTCCAACCCCGGTTTAACAACTGTAATTCCAGTAGCTATAGCCAAGAAAGATCAAAGTTATGTGAAATCTGTAATTCGACTGCTTGATTTATTGATTTTGCCAACAATCTAGGTTATAAAGCACAGAGCAATGAGGATACAGATGCATTAAACAGGAGAACATCCGACAAACAGGGGAAAATAATGTGAAATGGACAACCTAACAAACTATGAAGCCAACAAAAGACAGAAAAAACCCCTTCTTTTCCTTTCTTTGGTGGGGAGACAATCATAAATTCATAATCGGGTAAAAATTCACGCTGCTACTTCAGGAATATAAATTGGATGAAGTATAACCAAACCCTAATTACTCCTTGTACTTCATCTCGGACATGAGGAAACCGGGCATGTCAAAGGAACCTGCAAATTTCTCAACATCAGCCTTCAGAGCCTCAATCTCCTTGTTGTTCACCAAACCCTTGTTGAAGTCCTTCAACAGCTTCCCGTATTCCTTCTGAATGCTCAGTGTCAAGGTAACTGCACGGTGGAGGAACTCACCAATCTGCTCAAAGTCCTTCTCCAGCAACCCTCTTGAAGTCATGGCCGGTGCACCTACCACCAAACAACCAACCAACAAAAGCCGGTAAGAAAAAAATTGCACCCGCTACCGATTCAGTCAAAGTTAATTTGGTTTGTGATGCTTCTTCTTACCAATTCTCACACCTCCTGGGGCCAAAGCACTGCTGTCACCGAACACTGCATTCTTGTTCACGGTGATGTTGCAGAGATCACAAAGCTTCTCCACCTTGTTGCCTGCAAGTGACGAAACAATCACCCATCAAAATTTGATCACACAACCGTGTCCCTTAAACAATGGAAAAGTTATAAAGGAGACACTAATCATGATTGGGTTCCTTCTGCTTACCAGTCAACCCAAGAGGTCTGAGATCCCACAGAACAAGGTGATTCTCAGTTCCACCAGTGACCATCTTGTACCCTTTCTTCATCAAATAGTTACCAACAGCAACTGCATTGGCCTTCACTTGTTTGGCATAGGCCTTGAATGCAGGGGTGTTGGCCTGCTTCAATGCAACAGCAAGTGCACCGATCTGGTGGTTGTGAGGACCTCCCTGGAGAGAAGGGAACACAGAGAAGTTGATCTTGTCCTCAAAATCGTAGGTCGCGCCTTCTGGCTGTCCCTTCTTTGCTGGCTTAGGTCCCTTGCGGTAGAAGATCATACCAGCTCTAGGTCCCCTCAAACTCTTGTGGGTTGTGGTCGTCACAATGTCACAGTACTCGAATGGGTTGTTAGCTTCCTGTACAGCACTCAAAGAGAAGAACAGATCTCTTATTAGTTTACTCCCACCATAGATCTTGACTTCATGAAAACAAGCAACATAATAAGACACATCTACAAACCACCTACCATGAACAAGATCTCTCAGTTCGATTTTCAAACATCCATAATGAAATAGTTGAAATGGAATGACATGGAAAAGAAACAACATACACATCTGGACAAACTATTAGGACATATAACACAAAAGCAACAATACTACAATCCCAGACAAACACTTCAGCCACCACAATTGTAACTACAGAATTCAAGCTATCATAGACCTAGAGCCCACATCCCAAAATCCAGAATGAAAGAACAAATAAACATACAAATGCATAACAGATCCACTGGTGCAATGAGAGCACAATTGAGATCTAGCAAGCATGCCCCCGATAAGCAACAATCCAATCTCAAATCGCAGATCCAATTAACGGAAAGAAAGACAAAAGGCTAATCAGAAGAATAGGCAATTATACCTGAGCAGCAACAAGGCCACTAATGTGAGCCATATCGCAGAGCAAAAGAGCGCCACACTTATCAGCAACCTCCCTGAACCTCTTATACTCCCAGTCCCTAGGGTACGCACTGCCACCGCAGATGATCAACTTGGGCCTGAAATCCAGCGCCTTCTCCTCCAGCTTATCGTAGTCGATGTATCCCGTCTCAGAATTCACCTTGTAGGGCAAGCTCTCGAAGTAAATGGAAGTAGCGGAGATCTTCTTACCCCCCGAGGTGTAATACCCATGAGTGAGATGGCCACCCGATGGCAAATCGAGACCCATGATGCGGTCATGGGGCTGGAGGACGGCGGTGTAGGCGGCGAAATTGGCAGGGGAGCCGGAGTAAGGCTGCACATTGACACCCCACTTGGCCGGATCGCAGTGGAAGGCCTCCAAGGCGCGGGATCGGCAGAGGTTCTCGATCTGGTCGATGTACTCGTTGCCACCGTAGTAGCGGTTGCCGGGGATTCCCTCGGAGTACTTGTTGGTGAGGGCGCTACCGAGGGCCTCGATGACGGCGAAGGAGGTGAAGTTCTCGGAGGCGATGAGCTCGATCCCGCGGCATTGGCGACGCTTCTCCTTCTCGATGAGGTCGTGGATCTCAGGGTCCACCTGGTCCAACGGAGTGTTTCCCCATACTGTAACTGGATCCATTTTCTTTCTTTGTTTTCTCTTCTTCTGGTGAGATTCAGAGAGAGAAAGAAAGAAGAAAAAACAGAGTGGAGAGAGAGGGAGAAACAGGGTGAGAAAGAAATGGAAGTGGAAACGGAGAGGGGCTTAAAATGGACGAGGTGGAGATTGTGAATTGACAGTTATGGCCTTCGTTTTTTTTCGTGTTTGTTTCTATTTTTCGGCAGAAGATCCGTTAATTTTCTTTTTCCGATGATTAAATCCGGTTGTTTTGTGCGTAAGCACTTTTCTTTTTTGCTTTCCTGCTGCTAATGTAATTTGACGGTGTTTGGTGGGGTTGGTGGGTGTGTACTATTCCTATGGTGGGCGGGCTGCCACCAGATCCCAGACTAAAAGTAGTGAATGTAGTTGGTAAGCAGAGCAAGTGGTTATGGATATCCTCTTCCTACGACTCTCTACTTCAGCACACATGGCACTTGTAGAGGTGGCAAATGGATTCGATTGGTGGATTCATGGATTGGATTGGTGGATCCATGGATCAAATGGATTGGTGGATTCATGGATTGGATCAAGTGGATTGGTGGATTATTCATGAATCCAAATGGCATCCTCAACCAAGGACCAATATGTAAAATGTAAAAAGTTTAGGTACTAAAGTGTCATAATGAAAAATTTTAGGTACCAAAACGTAATTTTCCAATGATATTTTTCGTATAAAAAATTAAATTTTAGGTACCAAAATGTAAAAAATAAAAATTATAGGTACTAAATCGTAATTTGTCAATGATCCATGGATCCAATCCATGAATCCACCAATCCAATTGGATTTGGATTAAATGGATTGGATTAGGTGGATATTTTTAATGGATTGATGGATTGGATTGGTGGATTGGATTAAAATTGCCACCTCTAGTGTTGTGTAATGATTTGATCTATACTGACTGCATCTGCAAAATCAAATATTTAAATCGGATCAAATCAATATTTAGATTGGATCGTATCAAATTGAATATAGGCAAAATTCATTTGTGTAGCCAAAACTTTGACGTTTATGACAATAATAGTCACTTTTGAAGAAATACCAATAATAGCCAGAAATTTGAAAGTTTAATGACAATAATAGTCATTTCCGTTACATAGTTTGACTGTTTGACGACGTTAGTGACACCATTAGTCAAATTAACGAAACAATGATATGACTGCCAACTCACCGGACACATCATCAATAACTCAACAACACTTGCCACATGGATGTCATGTCATATTTTAATTAAAAAAATCATAAATTATTTTCTCATCCTCTCTCCTCTCCCACCACTCAATGATGTCGTCCTTTCTCATTCCTTCCACTGCCGATTCTTCCCCATCCTCCTCTGTTGCTCCAACCCCTTTTTTCCAAAACCCAACACCCAGCAATCCTCTCTGTTATGCTTCAATGAAATCAGCCCAAGAAGCCAAATAGAGAGAAGAGAGAGAGAAAAAAACAATCGACGGTTCTCTTCATATCTCCCTCAACCATTTTCCCCTCTTTTTCTTCTTCTCCCTTGCCTCTCACCAAATCGGTCAATCCTGGAAATTGAGGAGGCAAATCAAAGGCCCCTGCAAACCGACCTTCCTCTACATATTGAAAAAATCAATTTGGTCATCCCTGCATGCATCTCCAACAAACACTCTCCAGAAAACCCTAATCCCAAATCCATGGAATTGGCCACCAAAGATGGAGACGGAGATATAGCAGCCGATCCGAGCTCAACTCCAACGCTTCTTCTGAATCGTCGTCCCGTCGTTGTTGCCATCGTCGTCACTGTTGCTACAAGATGGATTTAAAAAGTGATATGGGTTCAAAAGGAGTGAACTCTGGCGACGGCTCTAGCTACAAGATGGATTTCAGTCTTTCTTTTTTTGGTGAGATTTTTTTTTTTGGTGAGAAGGATTTCAGTTTTTCTGATTGTGTTTTGGAATTTTTCGGGATTCTGATTTTGTTGGGGATTTGAGATGGGTTTTGAAAATTTCCCATAGTCAAAAGACCCATTTTCTAATTTTAAAATTCAAATTTTCATTTTTTAATTTATCCGCGTGGAATTGTTGTTGATGGAGAGTGTCCAGCTCAGCTTTCCGTTAGTCCAGTCAGTCCGTTACTTGACACCGTCAAAGAATTTAACGGAATTGGCTATTTTGTTTATTTTCGCAAAAGTTTCTATAATTGACAATAGCGTCAAAGTTTTTGTTATACAAGTGTAATTTGCTTTGAATATATTGCAGTATGATTTTTGGTCTAATAAATTTTATAATTATGTAAAATAAATAAATAAATATTTTTTTACAAAAGATAATCTTATATTGATTGACAAAAGATAGTTACACCGTGGAATTCAGCCAGGTCTGAAAATCAAAGAAACGACTCATAGTCTGGTACAAAGAAAGAGCCTTTCTAGCCACCACATGAGCTACCCTATTATAACGCCGACCTACGAATCGAACACTAAACCCAGAATGGGCAGCAAAATACTGCATTACTTCATCAAGAACAACACCCATCTAGTTATCACTGGTATCCGCCTACTTGATTTTATCGATAATCACCTTGGCATCCCCTTCGAATCTGACCACCGCGAAACCATGCTCCAGACACCACAAAATTTTTTCGCGGAGGACGAGTAATTCCACCACTGCAGGGTCATCAATTCCTGGAAATTGAACTCATTTAGCCAATAGGATATCCCTAGCCGGATTCCAAATCACCATCCCCCAGCCGAGTGAGATCCACTTCTAGTAGGCTCATCCCACATACAAACAACCATGTCCGGGTCTACCGGCTCCAGCTGTTGTACCATCAGACGAGAAACCTAAGGGGCTTGACACATTAGCCATCTTATACAAGAACACTTTAATTAGACTAAGTACACAAACTTGCTGCATCACTTAACCACACGTCCTTTAGCATGTGAGTAAATGTCTCATCTCAATTCCAAACTTGTAGGTTGGGCTGGCATTCCGGTTTCCAGTTAGCGGGTAAACGTTGGTTATAACCGAAAATCGTCTGGTTACCAGCTAACCAAAAACCGACTGGTTATCTTGGCGGTTGGTGGTCTGATGGGAAAAGGAAGGGGTCGGTTGACCGAGTAACCAATGGTGATTAACCGTGGTTATCCGGCTAACCGACCCCAATCGAGACCCAATTAACCTTCCCCACAATTATATCCATCATCTCCACCTCCAGTCTCCTCCTCGAACCCTAAATTGCGAACTCGAACCCTAAATTGCCACCCCTTTCTGTGAGAGATGTACGGGACAACCGAAATTGATTCTTCGCATCCTTAGGGACTGCCCCCAGACCATCTTTTTCTGGTCTCACCATGTCCCTCCTCAATAGCTAGAGAGCTTCTGCAGCACTACGTAAGAAGAGTGGCTCCCGCAGGAACTTCTTGGAGAGAGAGATGTCAGCCGCGAACATTGGTTAGCCTGCTTTCTTCAGTATGGCAAATTGGCTCCTTTGGAAAAATCGATGCGCGACTGCTCTTCGAGGAACGAATGTCGCTCTCTCTGCCCCGACCTTGGAACATTCCATCATGATGAAGACCAAGACCTGGAATGACTCCTGGAATGTGCCCCCGCTACTTCCTGACAACCGAGTGCGCTCATCTGAACGACAATGGGAAAACGTCGGGTGGTCTCCTCCCTCAAGCTCCTAGGTGACTTTGAATGTCTATGGAGCTTCGAGCGGCAACCCCATACCAGCCGGAGCTGGTGGAGCAGTTAGAGACTTGACATACAGGTGGCTTGGCGGGTTCGTGGCTAATCTAGGATTGGCTACTGCTGCTCTTACTGAGATTTGGGGAATTAATTATGGTTTGGATCTAGCCTGGATACTTGGTTGCCAAGTGGTAAAGGTAGAAACTGATTCGCAGTTGGCCCTGCAGCTTATTCAGAAAGAGTTTACCTCATTCACCCTTACGCTACTCTTCTCTCTAGTAATCGCAGAAAACTATGTCGGGATTGGTTGGTTAGCATCAATCATGTTTATCGAGAAGGGAATAGAGTCGCGGATTGGCTCTCGAAGCACAGTCTCGTCTAACCCTACGGTATGCATGAGCTTGCTAATCCACCACCCGAACTAATGGCTTTGCTTCGAGATGATTGTTTAGGCATTACGTTCGAGCGCCGCATTGCGGCCCGATCTTCCTCCTCCCTGTAACCCCATGTTCCCCTGCCTCTTGTTCTTGTCTGCGGCCTCCTTGCAATGCAAAAAAAAAAAAAAAAACTAGGCAGTGAATGTTAATTTACGTGGTTACGATTGTCATTATTTTCATTAATAGTAATATATAGATTAGATTTATGGATTGGTGGATCCAAGTGATTCGATCCTTTTTTAAATTTTGAAAAGCTTATATACTAAATATCATTATAAAAAAAGGTAACAATATATAGTTTATATTAATCAAAGTTCGCTTATGAAATTGTTCAAATATAAGATTAAAAAAGTACTAAATTGAAATTTACTTGAAGGAATACTAATTGAAGTTTTTGGTGAATGGATTAGACAATTTGGCGAATTGATTCAAATTGTCACTTGTAATTACCATTCATTAGGTAGACAATGTTAATGAAATATTAGAACATTAATGTGTACAAATTATAGGCACAGTGAACGAATTAAACTTGATAGCAAATAATCTACCTAACTACTATCAATTATCGACACAAAATGCCTACTCCATCGATTATCTTAAATATGAATAGAAACAAATAATAAACTGATAAATTACTCCTATTTCCAAGTGAAAAGTTGTGGGGTTAACAACCTAACATAGTATGTTTTCAAGCCCAAGTCACACTACAAGAAAACCCATCTATAATGACAGATAACCAGATGGAATTATTGTATTAGTCTCCATAGCTAATCTTTCGAGACAAATATATTATTTGTTTCAATATGCCATTGTATCTATCTCTGTTTCATAACATTTTCTATAGGTTTTAGGGAGAAATATTATTTATCTTGATATGTCATTGTATATGTCTCTGTTTCATAACATTTTATAAGATTTTTAGAAAGACACATTATTTGTCTCCATATGTTATTCTATATATCTCTGATTCATAATATTTTTCAAAACTTTTAAAATAAATATTATTTGTCTCCATATTCAATGCAATTATATGGGTTTCGTAAAATTTTAAAAGACAAATATAATCGAGATTGATATAATTGCCTAAATATTTTCATGTTATTAAAAATCAATTAAATATTTGATAATTAGAAACAAATATAGTCTACGGCTGCTACCCAAAAAAAAAATATATATAGTCTACGGCTGGAACAAATTCAATTGGCGGTATCCCTTCTTTTTTTTTTTTTTTTGCCTCTTGATAATTTGATAATTAGAAACAAATATAGTCTAAGGCTGGAAAAAAAGTGATTTTATTTGCTTTGCTTGTGGAGGTTGGTGAAGGACTCCATTGTAATTAAGCTGAGCACGACTGCACGAACGTCTGGGTTTGACGCCTGTTAATAGGGTTTTTTTTTCTTCGAATTTCCCACCAATTCTACTAGGTGTCCTGGTAGACTCCCACCAGCTCTGCAGTTTTGTTTGTTTAATAATAGCAGATTAGACTACAATGACCTCGTTAATTGCAAGACCATACCAACCGCTCTCCCACCTTCCAAAATAATAATGCGTTGCTTTCAACCCAAAAATAATGGTATTGCATGCTCTCTTTCCTTCAAACTCGTGGAGTAAACTGCCTTAACCGGTGCCCTGTCTGCTGGAGACATTGAGAAAGCATTGAACATTTATTCTTCAGATGCCCCCTAGTCATTAGATTGTGGACTTTAGTGGGATTGAGCAACTTTATTGAGACCGCCCAGACTGTTAACTTTAGTCTATGGTGGCGACATGTCATGGTCTCTGAGACCGCCCCATTCCACTTTCTCCAATGCATCTGTTTACTTTGGAGAATCTGGAAGTCTAGAAATAAAGTGACCTTCGAATTTACCAACCTCATGTCCGTTCCCTAGCCAGCCAGTTATTCTCCTAGGTCCTCGAAGTCTCTTATCTTCTCCTTCCTCCTCCACCCCGCAATTCTACTCCCAAATCATCCTGCCTCCTCTTGGGTCCCTCCTCCAGAAGACTTTTTGAAGATCATCTTCGATGCTGCTTTTTGTGCCACCGGGTGTTCGTCTGGGCTTGTTATCTGTGGGTCAGACGGACATGTGGTGTTGGCGTTTGGGCTGCAGCTTCAAGGAATAGTCAATCCTTACCTGGCAGACATTTTAGCCTTTAGAGATGCTATCTCCATCGTAGCCTCAAAATTCTTGACCCACGTGATAGTCGAAGGTGATTCCGAAGTAGTCGTCAAACAAGTTCGTCAAGGCGTCATAGAAGACTCGATTGGTGGTCCGGTGTTTCGAGAGTGTCATCAAATCCTTAGCTCTTTGTCTGTTTGTATAGAGTTTAGGGCGGTACCTAGATCCGCTAACAGTGCTGCCCATAGAGTGGCGCGTAAAGCACTGCTTTTGTCTCGTTTAGAGGTAGAAAACGATGTCGAAAATCTCGTATTAAATATTTTTTTACCAACAATATAGGTTCTTCACAAAATTTTCGGTCGAATGGGTGTCGGACGACACCCCTAAGCAACACGTAGGTCCGCCCCTGGTGGTAAATAGGAGTGTACATGAGTCGGGTGGGTTGGATTTTGCCCACTTTATTCATCCAACCCATACACTACGGTTTACACATCATAAAACCCAAACCCGCCCATAAAAAATTAAAAATCATAACCCGGCGGTTTGGATCGGTTCGGATTGAAGTGTAATCCCAAACAAAACCCAACCCAATATAAACAAAATTTCCAACCATTTTTCAACAAAGAGGGATTTGTTGATGGGTTGGGTCGGGTGATAATATACAAAAATTCCTTCAACCCGCACCCGCCCTATTGCAGTTTTTTCCCTTCTACAAGATCCGGACCCACCCAAACAGTTAATGAAACCGTCCATCTCGGTTTGGGTTCGGGCGGGTCACGGGTTACTATGTTCACCCCTAGACTGGTAGATCAAATTGATGCCCACCGTGGATGAAAGAAACAAATTAAATAATTATTTCTTTACTAGAAAATTAGCCTTAACATATACAAAAGAAAATACAGCCAACATTTTGGGTAATTGAGCGTGAGGATGTAAGTGGGTGGTGACTAGGACATATTGGCTATGTTGGAATTGACCAAAAATTTCACCAACCACTCACCAACCCCTCTCCTGATTAGTCTAATTCAAGAGTAGCTTCTTCTTCACTGATTTTGTCGACAACGACTACCCAGTTCATTGTCACCAATTTCTTAAAATCTTTGGTAGTAACGTTGTTACATTGACTCGTCTTGTGGTAATGAAATTGATGAGATAGACATGGAGAAAAGGCTAACTTTCTAATAAAATTGATAAAACTATGTGAAGAAATATAAGTTACTTGTGTGATTGGTTAATAGTTTTGTGTCATTACGTGGATCAACTATGACTCTCATGACTCTTGAGATGAAGCAAGAAACTATGTTGTTACTAGGTAAGGAGAAAGTGAAAAGGGAATAAACTAAAGTTTTAGAAAAAACGTACAGTATTTTATTATGATTCAACAACTCATCTTCCATTGGGTATATTGGTGGGTGTGGGTGGAGTTGTTGTGTGAATAATCTAATAATATAGAGTAGACCCACGTAATTAGGTTGGAAGTCAAATATGTTGGTAGGTAAATGAATATTCCAATTTTTCCAAACTCCAAAATTGGTTATCACACAGTCGTTTAAAGTATTTGTATTTTTTTCATAATATAAATATAAATAATTTAAATAGAGGAGGCGAGGGCCGGCTAGTCGCAACCGCCAACAAGGAAACAACGAAGATGGAGGTGGAATAACTGTTGGCTACTTCAGGGATGGTTGGTTTTGCGCAAAATCGATTTGACCTAATGAGAAGAGTGAGATGGATTGATTATGGGTTTATTTCAATTGGTGATTTTGTTTATAGTGTGATAAGTAATTACATGTGGCCCATGACAACTCCCACATCCGATCACTCCGCCTGTGTGGTTGATCAAATATCTACGTAATTGAAGTCAACAATATCAGCAATATATATTGTGTGTATTATTAAGAAAGTATTTGAAAGAATCTCCAGCGACTATGATACCAAATCTCAGTTGTTTGAACATGCATGGTGGAATATTAATTGTATTTGATCTCCCACTCGGTGCGGTCCCAATCGGATCTTGATTTTAGATTGATCTTGGGTGGATTTGAGTGGGCTGAGGCCTAAAAAGGTGATCGAGGAGTTGGTTAGGTTTTGGGCATTGGACTCTCTTATCCGGTCTTTATCCGATTTTTAGTCCGGTCCCGAACGGTTTTTTACCTCATATCTAAGCCCGAAAACGAGATTGAATTGTTTACTATCTGGTCCCGGTCCAGTACCGAGCCGGTTATACAATCCGGTTTCGGATAAAACTAAAAAATTAAACCTGGACCAAATAATTTGACCTCCCACTCGTCCCCCCAAAGCTTCTCTGAGCTATATGGGACATGAATTTGTGTAATGCACTTGGTAGCATACCTAAACTAGTACTATTCGCCTTGACTTGGTGCAGAAGGAAGGAAGGAAGCAGGGGATGAAGGTCCCATAATAATAATAGTAAAAATAAGGAAGGAAGAGGAGTAAGCAGTACAGCCAGTACCACTAACCAGGGGTGTCAGTTCGGGTCGGATTCGGTTACCCAAACCGAAACCCGAAAAAACCTGAAAACCCGAAATCGAAAATCACTAAAACCAAACCCGAACCCGATAAGGATTTGCGGGTTCCGGTTACCCGAAACCCGAAAATTCCTTATCGGGTTTAGGTTCGGTTAAAGCAAAACCAAAATCCGAACGCCTAAAAATACAGGCTGAGTTCTATTCATTGGAGGTTTTTAGCCGGAACCCGAAAAACCGATAAGCAAAAGTGAACCCAAAACCGAAAAACCCGAAACCTAAAACGAACCCGAACCCGAAAAACGGAAATGTATATAATCGGGTCGGTTTCGGATAAACCCGAAAAACCGAACCCGAATTGACACCCCTACCAAACCATTCCATTGGTAGATCTGGGTGGGTTCGTTGGTTAGGAATCGGATCCTTTTAGCAGGTTGACGGTGATAGGGATAACGTGCAGTCCACTCCACCTCCATCAAATGAAAACAAATGCACATGCCATTCACTTCATTCATTCATCAATGGCGCAAAAGTGGAACTGGAATGTCATCATAATGACGCCTTCCTTCTCCTTTCATTTTCTCCTTTTTCTTTTAATTTAATTTTGTTTAATTTCAGGGTTGGTTTTATTATTATTAGACCATGCAAAATTCCCCATCTCCAAGATCCCGAAAGATATTTTTCTCTCTCCTCATAACAATAATAAAGATATTTACTACTTATTTAGGCAGTCTGGCTTCCCTGCCCTGCCCAGATCACCGACGACGTGCTTCGTCATTTCCTTTCTCACAAGCGTTTTGTACCTTTCTGGGATGGCGAGATCTGTGCTTCGCTGGCCCTCCTCCTCCACTGTCGGTTTGCACGACATAGACGGGCCCACACCACCCAGATCGGGCCCACCACCGGTAAACAATCGGGTCCCGACGGCCGCGAACATCGCCCCGACCAGATCCAGATCGGCCCCGATTAGAGATCAATGCTCCGGAGCCCAGTCCAATCTTCCTACTCTGCAATAGTCTGCATAGTCTTGTTTACCCATAAAAATTAACCTTGTACCACATCGGTTAAAAACAAGCAATTAAATGGCTTTATAAGGCCAACTTAATCATATCAGTTTAAATCAGTTGAGTGGCCATGGAGATTGGGTTTTTTGGGCCCATTACTCCGTGCCACCACATGCGTCACCAAGGATGGCAAGGAGAAACCCCCATGAGATGATCAGGGGGTGGCCATCAACACACCCCGCCATGAGCATGCAATCCCCATGATATGATCAGGGCGGTGATTAATATCCACCCCTATGGGATGGTCAGGGGGTCACCAACATACGCCCCATGGTATGGCCAAGGGGCGTGGTCAACATCGCCCCATGAGGTTGCCAGGGGGGGCTACCAAGACATCACCCTCGTGAGGTGGTCAAGGGGGGGGGGGGGGGGGGGGGGGTCAGGTGGGCACGTGGTCTCCCTACTCCTGTAATGGTGAATTGTTTTTGCCATTTTTGACTCAAGTGATTCGAGTACCCACCCATATGTGGCACGTGGTCTGCTTTCATGCCTTAGCCATTTTTTCTCTATAGACAAGCAAAGCTACGGAGGGGATACAAAGAGCATGGAGTGAGGTTTCAAGAGGAGAGGCCAAGATTGGTCTACATCCAACGTCAAGGTAACCGTTGAAGCAGTTGAGAGGGTAACTGTCACTCCACGTCAGCAGAGCAGTTTCTTGTGGCAGTTACTTCTTATGGCTATAAATAGGAGGTGAAGATGACAGAGAAGGGGTTCGCCAAAATCACACCAGACAACACAATGTCAAATTTTATCCTTTTATCTTTACCTTTTCCTCTGCAAATGTAGTCATAGCCATAGTTGTAGTTTCGGAGCTCTCGCTGAACCTCCATAGGAGTAGAGTTAATGTAATTTAGTTTGCCTCGTAGTTCATCGAAACATTGAACACCCTTGTTTGAACTTTGTTCAAAGAGGTGTGAACTGTGTTGTTTGATCGTTTGTTTGGAAGTCAAAGGTGCAAAATCCAATTCTGTTCATCTAGTTTTTCTCGCTGGGAAAACAACTCTCTTCACCTTTTCAGCAGGATGGGCATTTGAACCTCCATTAAGTTTGTTAAGGTTGTCCACCTACGGGTCAACCCACTTTGACCCTGACCAAAACCCAATAAGGAAAACAAGTCGCACGCTACAAGTTATCGGGTTGGAGGTCAAATTGTGTCATTTTTTCTTTGGTTTGCGAAATACGCCTATTTTCTGATTTTTCTTTTCGCCTAACTCGATCTTTGGAATTCTTAGTTGAACATTTGAATATTGATGTTATATAAGTGTGTGGAAATTTTCACTACATGTTGGAATTTTCACTACCTTAGTGTAATGTTATATGTTATTACTTATATGTTAGATGAGATTTGATATAATTTAGGTTAAATACACTTGTATATCCAAAACTTTAACGGTTGTGCCAATAATATCCAAAAATCCAGAAATACCACTTATATCCAATTCTGTTAACGTTAAGTCTGACTGGACAAACGGTGGTGCTTACGTGGTGGCGAACACTAATTTCCCAATTCCTCTGTACTTATCCACGTGTATTGCTAATTAATTTTATTTTAAAAATTAAAGAATAAAACTTTCAAAGCCCATCTGACCTCATCCCTCGACTTGACCTAACTTTCTACCCTTCTCATTTTTTCCATCGACGAACTCCTAACCCGTCGCCTGCCGAGGAAGACGAAGGCGACGGATTTTGAAGAAGGCGAAGAAGGAAGACGAAGGCAGTGAACCCCCTAACCCGTCGTATCCCCTAATTTTCCTTCATCCTTCGTCGATCTACCCTTCTCGCCCACCTTCCTCGACGAAGACCAACACTGATTTCGGCGACTTAAAAAACTCGCGACGAGCTTAGGCTGGCTCCTCCCATGCTTCCTTTCAGCTGGAAACCCTAATCGCGACGAACCCTGAAAACACGAGGAGGGGATTCGAAGAAACCCTAATTGCACAGAAAATGGGGATTTCTGAGCAACCTCATCTGTAGCCACTGGTGAGTCTCGCTTTTGAATTGGTAGTTTTGGGTATTGATTTTGGTTGGAAAGTTCTTATAGTATTGTCTTTCTCTTGCTTTTTTGGTTGGTAGCGAGGTGTAAAGACTGAAGAACAAGGGGACCAATCGACTGGATTCCACACCGATTTCGCCCCTGAATTTGACGGTGAGTAGCTGAATCTTCTGGATAGAATTGTCATTACCTTTGGTTGCAAAAACCCTAGAATTGAATAATGTCAATCGTTGCTTTTTTCGAGTTGTGTTGTTAGTTAGTGATTAAAGAATTGTTAATGGTGATTTAAAAACAGATTAAAGCTGTTACAGATGGCTGATTCATGGGATGAGGCTTTTGGAGAGTATGATTCAGACGTTGTTCAGGAGAGTCCAGATGCTTCCTTGGCTGCACATGATGGTGTCGAGGCATCTGTTGCTCGATATATATACCATGTTTATGATTTAGAAGATGCAGACACATCTGATGACGAGTACCATGAAGCAATGGCAAATCTGAGAGCCTATGGGGATAGTATGAGAAGGAAGGTGAAGGCACGTATTGATGGCCATGGAGAGGAAGTCGAACAACTTGATGTTTTTGAGGAGGACGAATCCTCTGGTGATGACTCTGAGGAGGAGGATGGATTGGCTGGGGATAATGGTGTGAATGAAGAACAGGAGGATGCAGAACAGGCCGAGGTACCTCCAATGCAAGAAGCTAGGCGAGCAGACTCGAACCATTCGAGTTACAGGCTCTCTGAAGATTCCAACCATGTCAAAGCCAATCTTTCTGACTCGGAAGGTGGGGACATCTTCGATGATGCACCGCAATATGATCCACATTGTAACCACAATGTTCTCCAGTCCGTGCCCCGGATGAAGTTTGCCAGTTCGGAGGAATTTAAGGCAGCTGTGGTTCGCCACTCTGTAGCTGTTGGGGCCGGTTTGAGATGGGTTAGGGTTGAGAAATCAAGAAGAGAGGTCAAATGCAAGGACAAGAACTGCAAATGGAATGTATATGCTAGCTGGTTCAGGCGCAATTAGAGCTTCATGGTGAGGAAAATCGGGCTGCCACATTCTTGTGCAAGACAACTGCGTGTCAACCAAGTAACTGCCCACTGGATTGCACAGGATATGCTCGAGAGATACAGAATTAATCCTGAGTGGGCTCCAACTCAAATCATGGCAAAGGTAAAGTTGAAGCATAATATAGAAGTGGCTAGAAGAACCTGCTATAGAGCAAAAATAAGTGTTATAAAAATGTTGAGTGGTTCACTTGTGGAAGATTATCACATGGTGAGGTCTTACTTGGGAGAGTTGAAAAAGCGAGATCCTAGAGGGAACTTCATTCTTGGAGTTGAGCCACACCCTTCACAAGACAAGGTGTAGTTCCAAAGATTGTACATAGGATTCTCTGCATTAAGGGATGGGTTTCTTGAAGCGTGTCGTCCGATGTTCGGATTGGACAGATGTTTTTTGAAGGGAGAAATTAAAGGCACGCTTCTGACGGCGGTTGGTAAGGATAGCAACAACCAAATGTACCCAATTTCTTGGGCAGTTGTAGAGGGAGAAAAACAAACTCATGGATGTGGTTTGTAAACACCTTAGCTTAAGATTTGGAGCTTAGGGACGGCAGGGGCTGGTCTGTCATATCGGACCAGCAAAAGGTAGTAATTTCAATAACTACAACCTCATTAAATTCCATTAATTAAGCACAATTTCTAATAGTTTGTTTATTTTGCAGGGGTTAGTGGAGGCATTACATGATCTGCTGCCCGAGGCCGAGCATCGTAAGTCCGCAAGGCACATGTATGCTAACTGGAAAGTCAAGAACAAGACAAATAGGGTCAGAAAGCTTTTCTGGAAAACAGTCTACTCTTGCAATGAGGTTGATTGGAAGAATGCCACAACCGAAATGGAATGTATTGAAGGTGAGGAACATGGTACAACCCCCTTCACTGATTTCATGAATGCATAATCTAGGTCTTTTTGTCATGCATTCTTGTCTAGCTTTCCAAAGTGTGACTCGGTTGAATCTAATATTTGTGAAACTTTGAATGGGGTGATTGTCAAGTATAGGGGAATGTGAATCATTGACATGTTAGAGGGAATTAGAGGGTATGTGATGGATAGGGTTGTCGTGAAGTATGAGATGTTGTTGAACACAACCGATCTGTTATGCCCTAGAATTAGAAAATGGGCAGAGAAGGAAAAGGAGGTGGCAAGGTTATGCACTGCAAGACAAACTTTGTATGATAAGTGTGAGGTCAAGATAGGTGTTGCAGGTTACATTGTCGACCTAACTACTAGATCTTGCACATGTGGTTATTGGTCGTTGAGTGGCATTCCTTGCTGCCATGCCATCTCTGCGATCTCCCACTTGAGAAAGGACTTGGACAACTACGTGCATTCCAATTACTATGTGCACAACGCCGAGCACGCTTACAAGAACGGAATCCCATGTCTAGAAGGGAGACAAGCTTGGCCTGCTGGTGAGGGCATTCCAGTGTACCCACCCAAACAAAGAAGTATGCCTGGAAGACCAAAAAAAAAAAAAACAGAAGAAAGGCAGCCCACGAGCAAGAGGTTCGACCGCAACGGAATGGTTAGACTAAATTGTAATGAACAACTAGCTTGTAAGAAAGATACAACAACTATTTAGCATCCCAGATTGGAGCTCATATTTGGAAGATCATAAACTACAACAACTATTTAGCATCTCAGGCTTCGGCTATCTTATGTTTAACATATCAGATTGGAAGCTCATAAACTACAACAACTAAGTAACATCATGCCATTTTATAACAGATTCATGTTCCACATTCATCATTCACCTTTCAATTGGAAGCAAACCTAGTACAATGACAACTACTTCTACATAACAAACTGGTGCTGCCACAAAAGAACAAGCAATATGAAATTCACTACAACAACAACTGTGAAATGATATCGGATGAGACGGATTTCATGAGCCACTCTCCTTCCTTCAGCTAGCATAACTTCTTGAATCTTCATCAAACTTGACATTCTTCAACCAAAATTCTCTTCTCCTTCTTCCTCCTTTCCGCTTTCGACTCAGCTATCCGCAAACTTTCCTCGAGCTTCAACTGAGAACTCCCAATTGTAGAGGTTTTTTCTTCCACTTCATCAACCATCCCATGTACCCACCTAAAGAAACCATAGTTCTTTTTCTCGTTCTGCACCATAAAAAGGCAGCCTAAAAAAACACATTCATCAAAGGCAACCTCAAAAACCAAAAACCACCTTACCTTCCAATATGGGCACCCATAGAACTGCCTGCTTGGATTCAGTTCTGTACCAGAGGTATTAACCACATAGGCCACGATGTGTTTGCAAACTACCACCCCATGACCTTGTATCGAAGTTGAAGAATAACATCTCTTCGACATGGCGGGACGTCGACTTAATTCATCGACAGAGACGAGAATCGGCAAAAAAGCTAATCGCCTACGACAAATGGAAAGATGGGTCTGCAAATAGCTTTTGACGTGAATCTGGGTCGTCGATCGCCAATCGCCAAATCCGCCAGAATATCAGGAGTCGCCAAATCGCCAAAATCCACGAATCAGAAATCTTCACTCAGCGGGAGGATCTTCAATCCCAGGGAGTATATTCAGTCGGCGGGAGGATCTTCAATCGTCGGGAGGAGGTTCAGTCAGCAGGTGGAGGTTCTGTTGCCGCCAGGGGGCGAACCCTAAAAACAAAAGGAGAAAGGGGGACTGAACGTGCTCGTCGTCAGTGGGTATATGTGGGATTGGTTTTTTTTTTAATTATTTTTTAATTCTTATGTGTCACCTTTGGCGTAGTTGGCGCACAATCAGCTTGTCGTCAGCTATGTTGACGGAATTATTAATGCCGTCAAAGTATTTAACGGAAGTGGATAGATTTGGCAAAGAACAACTTTAAAACATGGATATAAGTGGTATTTCTGGATTTTTTGATATTATTGGCACAACCATGAAAGTTTTGGATATACAAGTGTATTAAACCTATAATTAATCAAGATAAGTATAATATAATAACTCTTTCCATATTTCCAGCTAAACCGGGCTAAAATGGGTGACCCGTTAACTCTTGACCCACTATCTCGACCGGGTCAGGGAAACCCGCGGGTTGACAACCTTGAGTTTGCTACATATCTCCCGCCGAATTATGCTGACCATCAAGTTCCATACCAGTCTTTGTTCATCACTTATTCACTTGCATACTTCTAGTTAGGACCTCTGCTGTAAACTTAGATTGGAAGTAAAAAAATGGACCTTTTCTCCTGTGCAGTGGCGGACCTAGAATTCTCGTACAGGTGTGTCAGTCAATAATTAAATAAAATAATAAATAAATTTTAATTATATTTTACTGGGAAACACAATGAGAAGTGGGATCGAAAGAGGTAAAGGGAACACTAGGTTTTTTTTTATAAGATGGAGAATAATAAAGAGCAATAGTCCATATGCAACTGGACTTCCGATGAAAGAGCATTTTTTGTCACTTGGTGGAAAACTATGTGAAAGCTACGAAGAAACGAAACTTATACAGGAAGAGAGAAAAGGAGAAAACTTTATTACGATTACCCTTACCTAAGACCTAAGAGCAATAAACCATTGAGTCTAAATGCTTAAGAAATGGAAAGAACCCCAAATTTGTCATAAGTGAACTAAAATTTAAAATAAATAATATATATTTACATATTTTGGGAACTTTATGACACTAATTTCATTGTAGTGTATTGAAGGTGTGTCGTAAATCCTAAATTCTAAAAAATTATACCAACAAAACACGAGTCTCTCACAAAATATTCGGGCGGAGGTGTGTCAAGCTAACAAATGGGTCCGCCCCTGCTCCCGTGGCAGCACCACACAAAATCCAAAAGGGAAACAAAAACAACCAGTTAAATACACTATTAAAATTCTTAAATATGTTATGTATGTGTTATGAAAGTATAACTCACTGCTATTTGCAACAAATCCCATTTGTTGTACTGTTTTTGTATGTATTTTCTTATATTTACTTGCTAGATGTGCATAAAATATATAGTTTTCAGTGGGTTAGCACTTCATACTTACTCGTATTTGGAATCTGAAATGTGCAATCAATGAAAGGAAAGTGGAGACACTAATTCTCATTTCGAGACTTAATAGCAATGCAACCATGCATACTTGTCGATTAGAAAACTAGGGGAAGGTTTTAATTTCTTTCCACCCAAACTACTAAAAAGAACTTGGAATTCCAATGAAAACCGATAGATCAAATTAGTTTTTTTATATTATTTTATTTGATAACGTTTTTTATATTATTATACGCAGGCCTTTGTATATCTGCAATGAAGCCAACAGTCGGTGATTGATTTATAGATACCAAGTTACGCCATAATACAACTATTTCTAATTGACCATTTAGTTTAGGATAAAATTTGGATGTCATTTAATGTTTAAGATTTCACCATTAATAAGGGCGGAGATCAACGAGGATGAAAAATCGAATATTGATAATGAAAATCAAATTGTACCTTTACATGGACTGAACAACTGCTATTAAAACTTACGAGAAAACTTTAGGAGTCGAAGCTTGAAAAACATCGTCTCATTCAAGCAATTTATGAAATTTTTATATCTCGTGTGTAAAGAGAAAACTTTAGGAATTTTTTTCGATTTTTTAAAGAAGGGTACAAACTCTCTTTGGACTTTCATTTCATTATCAATAATGATCCAATTGAAGTACAAAATTGCTCGATAAACTATGATAGTGTTATGATCCTTGAATTCCATTTGATTATAAATATAGCGTCACTGTAAGTGGTTCCATTTATTTTTACAAAATAAAACTTGAACATCAACTTCAAGAACACATAAAATTGTGCGGAAAAGCCACTGAAACTTCTTCTCCTTTCAACTACACATTCAAAATTTTCATGTTATGGATATTAAAACGGAAAATCTAATGATCCTCCTCAGATTTCTGGATCTTCTTGAACTTTCTAAATTTGTTTGTTAGAGAATAGAGATAAATAAATTTACAACTGAAAAAAAATGTAAATAATAACATAAAAAGTTAAAAACTCAGAAAGCCCAGACCTAATTCTTCTCACTTCTCAGACCCCACACCACACGACCATCAATCAGACGACACGTGTCGCCCCGAACGAATACCCTACCGGATCACCGTCCATTTCAGTCACCACAAGTGGGAGTCCAGCACGGCGTTCTCGCCGCATCCGAATACTTTTTCCACCCCCAACCTAGATCCACCAACCCCCACCAGATCCCAGCTCCTTTTCATACGACACCGTTTCACTCCCCCCTCACCCAGATCCAATCACAGCCGTCCATCTCCCCTCAGCCTTCCTCTTTATAAACCCCATCCACTCCCTTCACTCAACCCTGTCTCTCGCCTCACTTCTCATCCCTCTCCTAAATTTCTCAGATCCCCAATTCCCTCCCCGTTGCCGTCGCAATGTCGCTCATCGTCGACAAAACCTCCGCCGGCCGGGAGTACAAGGTCAAGGACATGTCCCAGGCCGACTTCGGCCGCCTCGAGCTCGAGCTCGCCGAGGTCGAGATGCCAGGCCTCATCTCCTGCAGGACCGAATTCGGACCCTCGCAGCCCTTCAAGGGCGCCAGGATCACCGGGTCCCTCCACATGACAATCCAGACCGCCGTCCTCATCGAGACCCTCACCGCCCTCGGCGCCGAGGTCCGCTGGTGCTCCTGCAACATCTTCAGCACCCAGGACCACGCCGCCGCCGCCATCGCCCGCGACTCCGCCGCCGTCTTCGCCTGGAAGGGGGAGACCCTCCAGGAGTACTGGTGGTGCACCGAGAGGGCCCTCGACTGGGGCCCCGGTGGCGGCCCCGATCTCATCGTCGATGACGGCGGTGACGCCACCCTCTTGATCCACGAGGGTGTCAAGGCCGAGGAGGAGTTCGCCAAGTCTGGCAAGGTCCCCGATCCGGCTTCCACGGATAATGCCGAGTTCCAGATCGTCCTCACCATTATAAGGGACGGGTTGAAGGTTGACCCCAAGAAGTACCACAAGATGAAGGAGAGACTAGTGGGTGTTTCTGAGGAGACCACCACTGGTGTCAAGAGGCTTTACCAGATGCAGGCCAACGGAACTCTTCTGTTCCCTGCTATCAATGTCAACGATTCTGTCACCAAGAGCAAGGTAAATCTCTATCCATTCTCGTTCTTACTCGTTCGTTCAGTTCATGATTGGTAGATCTGGAATGATTCTGTGATTGCCTGAGTTAATTGAGGTTGCAGTCTTTCAGATCTGATATATTTGATATTCTTATAAGTCAAAAATTGGCACTTGAATTGTAACAAAGAATCGAGCTTTATTTGGTTGGCCTTTCCTAGAATGACATTTAGGGGGTTGTTTGAATGTTATTTCCATTACCCTTCTTCGTTATATGCATGTTTAGCTACTTTCATGATGATTTGGATCTGTTACCGATTGATTTCTGATGTTTGTGCTTGTGTCTAATGCTTTGTTTCAATATGTGGTCTTACAGTTCGACAACTTGTACGGTTGCCGTCACTCCCTCCCCGATGGTCTCATGAGGGCCACCGATGTCATGATCGCCGGCAAGGTTGCAGTTGTCTGTGGTTATGGAGATGTCGGAAAGGGCTGTGCTGCCGCCATGAAGCAGGCTGGTGCTCGTGTGATCGTCACTGAGATCGATCCCATCTGCGCCCTCCAGGCTCTCATGGAAGGTCTCCAGGTGTTGACCCTCGAGGATGTGGTCTCTGAGGCTGACATCTTCTGCACAACCACCGGCAACAAGGACATCATCATGGTCGACCACATGAGGAAGATGAAGAACAACGCCATTGTCTGCAACATTGGTCACTTTGACAACGAGATCGACATGCAAGGCCTCGAGACCTTCCCCGGTGTGAAGAGAATCACCATCAAGCCCCAGACCGACAGGTGGGTCTTCCCGGACACCAAGAGCGGCATCATTGTGTTGGCTGAAGGGCGTTTGATGAATCTCGGATGCGCAACTGGCCACCCCAGCTTCGTGATGTCCTGCTCGTTCACCAACCAAGTGATTGCACAGTTGGAGCTCTGGAACGAGAGGTCCAGCGGCAAGTACGAGAAGAAGGTTTACGTTCTGCCCAAGCATCTTGATGAGAAGGTTGCTGCTCTTCATCTCGGCAAGCTCGGAGCTAGGCTCACCAAGCTGACTAAGGACCAGTCCGACTACATCAGCATCCCCGTCGAGGGTCCTTATAAGCCTGCTCACTACAGGTACTGAGCAATACCACCAAGAGGAGGGGTGGAGAAGACCAGTGCGGTTTGTTTGGTTTGTTTTGCATTCAGGAAAAGAACTCGGATGAATGATTGTGTTTAGGCTTTTCTCATTTAGAGTTGTGTTTTGTGGCTGGAAAGGGTAATGGGTTGTTGGTGGAGGAGAGGAATGGGTTGGGTCTTTTTGACCACAAACGGGTTGGAAGAATAATGGTCGGATTTCGGGAATGGGGCTGTGTGAGATAGATTTTGGGTTTTTGATTCTGCAAATTCGGATTTTGTGCCGCTGCTGCGTGCTGCGCCGGCTTATCATCATTTTTTACCAGAAAAAGATAGACAAAATGAAGATTTGTTGAGCTTCACTATCATGTCATTGGATGGTTGTTGCTGTCGTTTCATGTGTGGCGATACTGTCGTATTCTTGGTTCCAAAGTCCCAACACAGCTGGTGCAAACTGCAAAGATATTCCGGTAGGACAAGTACTAATCTGCTTAGAAAATCATTATCAGATGGAACTGTTAAAAGAACTAGCCCTGGAGGTTTAAGTAACTCAGTAGTCAGTTAGAACTCATCTTGATAGGGTGTCTATAAATGGGATGATGATTGGTTTATTAGAGACATTTAGAACCTAAGCATGAAGAAATTGTTGTGATTCGAGTGTATCTAAGGGTATAATACGGTCGTTCTGTGAGGTCTATTTAAAATGGTTGCATTGCAAAAGAAAAAGTCATACCATTTCAATCACTTATTCGAGAAGGGAAGCAAAATTCAACTAGTGAAGTTGTAGGAGAGAAATCAAACCAGTAAAGTCAGAAGTTTACAGGATTAACAAGTAGATGGTGAGGAAATCGTGATGAATATCATATCGACGCAATTTATCATACACGACAGTTCAAGATTGTGTAATGTGTATAACAGACATTTCAAACAGAAGAGTGTGGGAAACAGATTAATTGTCGTTTTTTATTTAATTCGGGTTAGTTTCGGTTTTTAAGGTTTGGGGTATTATTTGGGGTATTCGGGAATGAACATGGAGTTGAGTGTTATGTTTAATTAGTTGGGTAGTTGTTAGAGATTAGGCGGATTATATAATCTGTACTAGGGCATTATTTTCATTAGGCAACAGTTAATAAAAATTCCTAAACCTAAACTCTCTCTCTCCTTACCCTCTCACCTGCGCCGACCCTCTCCCTCTCTTCTTTCCCAAGAGCTGCGCCAACAACACCTCATTCCCTCTCTCTTGTTCTCAACTATCCCAAATCCCAATCCCTAGCTAATTGATCTAGCTAATTTCCCAATTCCCAATCACGTTAGAAACCTTGTTTCTAACATATGGTATCAGAGCAAGGTTCGAGAGTGAGTTCTTGAGCTCTTGAACCAGGGCAAACAACGATGGTGTCGACAAAATCGATGAAGGCAGTAGAGAAGGCGGCGCGGGTAGCAGAGGAAACCACCGAGGCGAGCAACATAGGGCCCGACGGAAGGGTGGAGGATGAGACTGAACTGGAGGCGATCAAGGAGGTGGTGCACGAGCACTCTGAGGCGTTAGCTCATTCCCTCTCTCTTGTTCCCAACTATCCCAAATCCCAATCCCTAGCTAATTGATCTAGCTAATTACCCAATTCCCAATCACGTTAGAAACCTTGTTTCTAACATATGGTATCAGAGCAAGGTTCGAGAGTGAGTTCTTGAGCTCTTGAACCAGGGCAAACAACGATGGTGTCGACAAAATCGATGAAGGCAGTAGAGAAGGCGGCGCGGGTAGCAGAGGAAACCACCGAGGCGAGCAACATAGGGCTCGACGGAAGGGTGGAGGATGAGACTGAACAGGAGGCGATCAAGGAGGTGGTGCACGAGCACTCTGAGGCGTTAGCTCGGCTCGAAGATGGCCTGGCGAGAGTGCAGGTGGAGGCAAAGGCTGATGCTGATGATCTCCGTCAGAGACTGGAGGATCTGATGCGAGCGGTAGCCTCGCTGCAGGAGCAGAAGATCAGAGCTGGGGGGACGCTAAGCTCGGCCGAGCTGGAGGTCGGCGGCGGCGACGAGGGGCCGACGGCGGAAGCCGCGGATGGCGGGGGCGCGATCGACGAAGGCGGATCGGCGGCGCAGGGGGCGGTGACCGCCGGCCAGGGTGCGGCAATGGTGGCGGCCGAGTTCGGGCCGGGAGCAGGGGCAGGCCCAGTGCGGGCAGGGTTAGGAGTGGGACCGGGTCTGTTACTGACACTTACGGCCCAAGAGATCGAGACCCGAAAAGGGAAGGCTAAGATGGCCGGTTATGACACAGACGGGCCTCCCAGGAATAATGGGCCCAGGCTGTTGGGTAACTACACAAAGGTCCATAACGGGCTGGGGTGGTTGGAGTTGGAAGATGGGGCCGAGTATGACAAACTGGGCCTGGCGGATCAACAGGCCAGGTGGGCTGAACCGGAGATGGACCAGAGAGGGCCTGGTGGGCCGAGGAGGGCCGCCGACCAGTTGGGGCAAGGGGGGTCGGCTCATGGGGGACGGACTGGGCCGAGGCGGGTCGAACCGGTACCGGTCAAGCCGGGATCGGGCAGACCGACGCTGATCGAACCGAGGCAAGCCAAACCGAGCCGGGTCGGTTCAGAATGGGTCAACCCGAGGTGGGTCGGATCGGACATCGACCGAGTCCGACTGCTCAACCGACCAGGAGGATGGACAGCAGGGCACCAACCGGCTGGGAGGGTCAGTACGGGGTGCCTCACGCTCTAGGAGGGTACCCGAACATTCCAGGCAGCTACCCGGATGACTATGGGCACGGAAATCCAAACCGGATGCAGTGCTCTTCCTTTGGGCAGCCGTGGAGGACTCCAGGAAATGACAGGTATGGGTCCCACTATATGAACTATGAAGGAATGGATGGCGTAGTTTTTCGAGTTAAACCTCCTACCATTGAGTTTCCAAAATTCAATGGGCAAGAGGATGCAGGCCTGTGGTTGTATGCAGTTGAGAGGTGGTTCAAAAACCACCCAATTCCGGAGGAAAGGAAGGCCTATCTGGCATCGTTCTATTTGGAGGGAGATGCGCTCCAGTGGTGGGAGTGGATGGAGAGATCCTACGCGACCGCAGCAACCTTGATCACCTGGCCGATGTTTCAGGAAGAGCTCCGCTATCAGTTTGGAAGTCAGATGGGTGGGCTCCGGAGCAGTGGCGAAGCTGAAGCAGACCGGTACGGTGGCTGAATACCGTGCAGAGTTCTTCAAGTTGGGAAACCAGTGTAAAGGAGTCTCGGAGGACACCTTGGTGGGGCTGTGCATGGCGGGTCTCAAGCCCGAGATAGCAGCGGCAGTCAGAGTGTTCGAGCCCGATTCCTTGAAAACTGCTTTTCGTCTTGCAGGTTATAAGGAGGAGGAACTGGCTAGCTGGAGGAGCACCATTGGTCGCTTCTCGAAGCCGAGTGGAGGAGGAGGAAGTAGCGGGAGCAGTGGCGGCACAGGAGGGGCGTCAGGGGGAGGCTCGACTAGGGCTAACGTGAGCAGTGGAGGTCCTGCTCCGGTGGCTAGGATGCGACTGCGGGCCATACCAAAAGGGTTCGTGCGACTGTCGCCGGCCAAGATCGAGCAGAAGAGGCGGGAAGGCAAGTGCTTCAATTGTGATGGTAGGCTCACTATCGGACATCAGTGCCCGAAGCCGGATTTGATGATTAGTCGGGCGCTGGGAAGATGAAGCAGAAGATGAGGTTGAGGACGCCGGAAATGGCGAGGAGGAGGCCTAGTGAGCTAGAGGAGCAACCTTGGGGACAAGGTTGTTTTTCGAAGGAATCGGGGATGTGGGAAACACATTAATTGTCGTTTTTTATTTAATTCGGATTAGTGTCGGTTTTTAAGGTTTGGGGTATTATTTGGGGTATTCGGGAATAAACAGGGAGTTGATTGTTATGTTTAATTAGTTGGGTAGTTGTTAGAGATTAGGCGGATTAACTGAATTGCTAATCGTCGCCCTAAATTTTGAAAAAAATCGCCCTAAATCATATTGAATTGACGATAATACCCCGAACTCCAATTTCCCTAATCCCTACCTCCTTGTGTCGTGTCGCCAACCAGCCGATTTCCGGCCGCCGATGCTCTCCGTTTCCTTGGAATCTCTGTTTCTCAACCAGCCGGATTCTGTCCGCTGGGATTATATAAAAAAATAGAAATAACAGCGAGTCAACATGCTAGGGAACGACAGCGGCGAATGTGACCAGCGCCCCGACTTTCTTCCTCCTGCTTCTTCTTTCCCCTTCAAATTTATACCATGAGATTTCTAGGCACAGTTTTACTTCAGTTGGGCTCTTCAATGATTTAAAATTTAAGTGGGTGAATTGTGTGTGTCGAAATGGGTGAAAATTGAACCATGATAGATAGCTTTTGGAAAACGTTGTTTGGATGGTTAGTGATAGGGAAGTGATTGGAAAATGAGTTCCAAGATTAAGTAAGTTTGCAGAAAAAATGGGTGTATGGCCTCTATTTGCTGTCATCAAGATCGAAGATTTGTTGAAGTGTTGCAGCACCGTGAATTTAAGGATATTAAAGTAAACTTAATATAATCAAGGCGACAAATAAGGATTTTTAGGGCGACGAATAGCAATCCCCTTATATAATCTGTGCTAGGGCATTATTTTCATTAGGCTACCGTTAATAAAAATTCCTAAACTTAAACTCTCTCTCCTTCCCCTCTCACCCGCGCTGCGCCAACAGCAGCTCATTCCCTCTCTCTTGTTCTCAACTATCCCAAATCCCAATCCCTAGCTAGATCAATCCCTAATTGATCTAACTAATTTCCCAATTCCCAATCACGTTAGAAACAAGGTTTCTAACAAAGAGCCAACTGGCCTTCCGTTTATGTTCGACGGTGAAAAAGATGCACAGAACGGCATGGTTCACTTTTTCATCTCTGCAGGTTTGATTAGGCAGAGGAAGAAATCAAAGCAACCCACCCTTCTACCGAGGGACTCCAATCCGCTCCACAGCCCATCCATTTTGTGGCCAAACTCAGCCGTAGACGTCGAGGAAGAATTTTCCAACCCAACCACCTCTGAAATTGCCTGATGCTACCCTTTAAAGACGAGGCAATACAGACTCCATTTCCTAGCATGCCCCAACTGGAAGTAGCAAAACAGCACTTTGTGTCCAGAATCCAGACTAGAGATTGATGAAAGGGGAAATTTCTTTTTAAAGAAAACACAGTTCCACTTTGGGTAACACCCATACCTTAGATCATAGATTTCAATCGTAGCAGGGGCTTCATAAAAGAAAAGGAGGAATCTTTTCAGAGTCGCACTTCCAGATTAGTGAAACTACACCAAGGCCCTTTAGTTTCATCCCAAAAAGTCATGCCGTGTTGACCGTTAGCCGATGATTGAATTGATACACAAGAATGCAGAATCACAGGCCTGCTGACGGGAACACGAAACCAGGAAATTGCAAACCATATTCCGCAAAACCATCCCAGAATCCTTCAAAACCCACAGAAATTGCATTGTGATTTGGCATTGCAAAGCAAGGGGACTTGTCGAAAAGGAAATGACACCCCATAAACAAATCAAACTTCATCCACTGAGAAATGGAGGCACACCAACCCCAGATCTGCCGCCAATCAAAACTTGGATCTAAACAACTTCTTACAGCTAGCAGCAGAGCACAGAACAAAAAGAAGGGTCCTCCAAATATACAGAAACACCCAAAAAAGAGAAGAAACCCCAAAATTGCATCGAATCTGGGGTTGGGAGGAAAAAGTAGACTCAATTTCCCCAACCCACTGACTTCATTTCATCTCCTTTTAATAGAAATCGACCTATCAATCAATCAATCAATCAATCAATCAGAGACGTCTTTGATACCTCTACACCTGGCAATGACTTCACAACCCCGGTTGTATGTGTTGGCGGCACGAGGGTGACAATCGTAGTAGGAAGCACCTGGGTTGTCGCAAGGGACCATGTCCCTCTTCAGCGTCGCGTAGCTTATGTACTTCCTCTGCATTAGCATCAGCCTCCTGCTGATCTCCGACTCCATCTCCGCCTCTTCTTCATATAAGCCACCGCCAACAACGCCGCCGCCGTGGAGCTCACCGCTTTCAACTACCGAATCTGGGAACCCATTGCAGAATGGGGAACTGGGTTGGAGGAGAAAGAGGTAGAGGGACAGGATATGGAGGAAAGTTAGGAGCTTTAGCATTTTGTGCTCGGAGCTCTCTGGCGACTGTAACTGGCTATGGATGTCTCCCTGAAATGGTTTCTTCTTTGGGTTGGCTGATTTACTGCTTGTGTGTGCTTATTGCTGGGACATAAGTGAAACTTTCTTTAAAGGGAAGAAAAGAAAGATGAGCGGAATTTCAATGGTGGGTAGTTGGGACTTGGGAGAGGTCATTAGATTATGCAATTTTGTGGCCAATTTTGGTTTTGGAGGATTTGTTTTGTTTTCTTTTTCGCCCATTATGCTTTTCCTTTTGAACGCACTTTGTCTTATCTTTCTCAGTAGGCAGAGTAGGCACTAAGAATTGATGATTGTAGAGTGGTACTGTGGTAGTGGATGGCCTGTGGAGAAAGAGCTGTAGTGAATGTGACCGAAACGGTATTTTGAAACAAGTGATTAATTGCTCAACAAACTGCATTACCAATAATCCCCACAAGAACAGCATCCGTCCTTGAAACAATGGAACCTATTACGATCACGCACAACAATCTCACGACCAGAGATGGCCGCTATCAGTTTCAAAGCCGAATGACAATCCTCACAAACACGTAGATTCTTGATGATCCTGATCGTCGTTCCAGCCGGAGTGTTCAACAGCCCGAAACTCACAGCCAATTTCTCGCTGTGACGATAAATGAACTTCACCTTCTGCTCCTCTTCGATGTCGAGCAGCACTAGTGAAGTATTGGGAGCGTACCCTCTAAGCATCATCTCAACAACGAGTTCATCCCACTTTCGAAATATGCCTTCAGCCTGCGGGTGGCTCTCATCTCCTCCAGCCACGAATTCATGAACGATTCCGTCATCCAGGGTTATTTTACTCCACCCGCTGGTTTTCTTCACCCCTCTCGCCTTCATCAACTTCCTTACTCTCGTCACGTCTTCCCATCGACCAGCTTCTGCATAGATGTTCGATAACACGATGTAATACCCATCGTTGAGAGGATCCAGTACAGAGAGGTGCTGAATTGCTTGCTCAGCCAACTTGATGTCTTTGTGAAGCCTACAACCACCAAGAAGAGCACCCCAGATGATACCATTCGGTTTAATAGGCATTTCCATGATGAATTCATAAGCCTCTTTCACTAGTCCAGCTCGACTCAGGAGATCAACCATGCAGCCATAATGCTCGATCCCTGGAGTTATTCCGTAATCCCGAGTCATGCTGGTGAAAAAGGCTCGACCTTCGTCAACAAGACCCATATGGGCGCAGGCATGCAACAGACCCACGAATGTAACACCGTTTGGTTCTGTTCCATCCTGAAGCATGCTTGAAAAGAGGCTCAGGGCTTCCTGAGCTCGTCCATGCGCTGCAAGTCCCACAATCATTGCAGACCATGAAAACACGGTTCGTTTTCCTTCCATCTCGTCGAAAACTCTGCTGGCTTCCTCCAGGGAACCGCATTTGGCATACATGTCGATCAAGGTGTTGCAGACGAGCATGTTATTCTTGAACCCGCTTCTGTTAGAGTACTCGTGAACCCTTTTCCCCAAATCTAGAGCGCAGAGATCAGCACAGGCTGCAAGAACAGATACAACCGTGACTTGGTTAGGCTTCAACCCAGATTCTTCTTCCAGCTTCAGGAAGTAATCAATGGCTTCTTTTGGTTTCCCGCACTGGACACAGCCCGAAATCATCAACGTCCATGACCTGATATTCTTCTCCGGCATCCTGGAGAAGAGTCTTGAAGCGCCCTCGATATCTCCCCTCTTGAGCATCTGGGTTATTACGGTGTTCCAAGTGACGACATCTCTTTGAGGCATTTTATCGAATAGTAACATTGCATCAGCCATTTCCCCACACAGTCCATACAAATTCAAGATCATGTTTTGCAGAAACAAATTCGACCCAAACCCAAGCTTCTCAACAACCCCATGAAGGATTTTACCGTTAGCGATATCTAACAAGCTCACGCAAGCTTTGAGAAGGAAGGAGCAAGTGAACGCGTCGGGCAAGACACCCGACGTACGCATCTGGTAGAACAGCGAGACGGCATCGATGGGGTGATCGCCTTCTGCCAGAGCTCTCAGGCACGAATTCCAGACGGAAGTGTCGTGGTTGTCGGAGCGAGCAAAGATATGTTGGGCGTAGGGGAAGCAGCGGCCGCGGGAGCAAACAGAAGCAACTTTGGGTAGTGGAAGGTCGGAGATAGAGGCATTGGTTTTGATAAGGTGGGCATGGAGCTGTTTGAGCTCCGCTGGAGAATCGAATTTATGGAGTAGATGAGGTGTGTAGCTCTTTGGAGCTGCTGGAGAATTCGTGTCCGGCGGCAGGGGCGTCATGTGAAGCCCAAATGCGGAGGTAAGCATTTTGAAGACTAAAGTTTCGAAGCTATCACTTCGCCCTTGCGCGCTCAGTGGAAATTTAATAGACAAACTACGAACTTGGGAGTCAATGTTTTGAATTCAGACGAATAACATCGACATTTAGGCTTGGATGTCATAAACTGAATTTTGATTAAAACAAAACAATATTCCATAGAACTGCTGCAGCACTTGGAACAAAAAAGTTTGGGATTTCTACCAAAAAAAAAAAAAAAAAAGTTTGGGATCTCATTGTCAGTTACATTAAGATTTAAGCATGGATGATGCTACTTGGGTAACTTTCGGTGCAACTTTTAACAAACCAGATTGATGCAGTGAAGCTATAGTTCAGAAAACAAAGGTACCCAGGAACTGGTAAAGTTAAGCATGGAAAGGATGTTTCTTTTCCATGAATACAAGCTACAAAAATTTCCCACGGCGAACGCGCAAAAGAACTTGTTGCCTCTGTGAGTCGTGATATGATACCGACATAGTACATCAAGATCAGCCAACCTTGCCATCAAGTGAAAATGGAGCATAGCCAAGATGCACATCCAAACAAGGTGCTTTTACTTGAACAGATCTGGGTTCAACCAGTCCCTGCAATATAGATGGGCCATCGAGGTGATTATGGAGCTAATGTTTAACCAAATTAGATACTCGTTTTGTATGTAAAAGCTTACTTGGTAATGTCATCGAGGTGATCATCAAAATCAACCACCTCTTGCCACTTCTCGGAAGAAATGTAGTCCAGTAAGATGGTATTTGCAGCTGGTTCCTTAAATGTCAAGTGAATGCCCCCATCTTCCGCAACCAGCTTCCAGTTCTTGTATGCATCCTTTGTGTAAAGCTAGTATAAGGAAAACAACCCATTTAATTGCCTTGGGTAAAGATTCAGAAGCAACAACTACACGTACGATCGTAGAATAAAGAGAGAGCTGGCTAATAGCCAAAAACAACAACTAGCATTGACCAAAGTTCAGAAAACCTGCATCAACCAGTATACACAGAACTTGTACTTGTGCAATCATGGTGTTAACTGCTTGAAGGGTATATACTGATGAACAACTCCCCACAACCTCTTCAACGTTTTCCATCTATGTACAACTACAAGCTTGAATAACCACATTAATCGATCAAATTCACCACTGGAAGCCCATCTAGCTGAATCTGCAGATTCTATGTTAATCCTTTTATATAGTTTCTCTATGCAAGGATTCAAATATTCTCTGTAAGATTGCAGGAACCCCACATTGAAAGTGTCTGGCTTTGCAATTAGAATACTGCCAATGATACTAATCAAGTGTGGCATCAACTCATGATTCAGTCACTATAAGCTGACGTCTTTAGAGGGAGCAGGAGACTTCTATCACTCACAAGCTTGGAAAACTCAAACCAAATAACCATATCCCAATCAAAGAATGCAATAGTTAAAAAAACCCCATTTTTGTTCACTTTTCAAAAACTTAGTTACTCCCACCACCAATTGATTTGGCTTTACAGTACAGATAAGATCCCTTCTCGAAAGCTAAAAAGCCATAGAAGCATAAGAAACAAACCTGCACAACAGGGCTGCGGTCTTTCCCTTTTGGTAAAGCTTCAAGCTTCTTGTTATCTAGCTACACATGAAATCAAGAGGAAGTCAGTCAAACAGCCTGAAATTCAAAGTCTAAGCTTACAAAACCACAGCAAACATCACAAAAGAATACAGATGACCCACCAATAGAACAGCAGCCTGTGGGAAATAGCGAGAGATGTGATCAGCAATGTTCTTCGATATATTACCAAGCTCTGTGTCATCAAACCTCTCATTCGCGTGGAAGTACCCCACAATTCCAAGACCTCGAGCACTATAGTACTCCTCTATCTGCGGACACAAGCACAAAATCAATCCCCCACGAAACCATCAGGCAGCTCAATTTAGCAAAGTTCTTCAATTGTTAGCGGGGGCAATGGGTAAGAAGAAAGAGGGAATTGGGGACATTAAATTGAAATTAAATTAAACCCTAGAATCCAGATCAAAAGTTTCGGAGAAATTGAGGAAGGGGAACGAGAGGGGAAGGACGGGTGAAGAAGAGGAAGATACCATGATGAGGGAGATCTCGAGAGGAGGGAGGAGACCAAGGTGATTGTGGAATAGCGGGACGGAATCTTCGATCTGGATGAGGCTTTCGTTCTTAGGAGAAGTGCGGCCGAGCAAGACGCCGTTGACGGCGGAGGTCTTGTGCTTGAGGGCGTGGAGGACGAGCTTGATGTAGGCGTTCTGTGCCATCTCGTACTTGAGCTCCCCGCCGCCGGTGCCGGCCATCTTCAAGAGCTTCTGGATTGGCTGCGATTTGATCTTGCTGCTGGTTCGTTGTAAGCTCTAGGAGTCGGCTCTGTATATCCGGGAGAGGCAGTGTGACGGCCGCCGGCGTTGCTGTTGATCAGTTGATGCGTTTGTGCGCCAGCCAGAGTAACGAGTTGATTACTTGATTTTGGACTCTATCACTCAAACGTTTCTATTTTTTTTTTCTTTTTCAATACTATTATTTACTGAGCACTTCTACTATGCTATATAGTATTTACTGATCACTTGTACCTTTATGTGATGGTATAACTTCAAGTTGTAAAGTTGTACCATAACATTAAATGTATAAGTTTAGGTTGTACCATAAAGCAATTTGTACAATTATGTTATGGTACAACTTTACAACTTGAAGTTGTACCATCACATAAAGATACAAGTTCAAGTTGTACCATAAAAGAATTTATACAAAAAGTATAGGTACAATCGAAAGTTGTACCATAACATAAAAGTACAATTTTAAGTTGTACAATTAAAGCAAAAATCTATAGCACCAATACTATATAGCATTGTAAAATTTCTCTTATTTATTACGGGATGAATTGCACATTTGATCGCTGGATTTATAAAGTTGTATCGCATTTGCCACTATTTTTTTTCTCTTTCTTATAAATCACGATTTTAAACTTTTATAGATTTATTTCATCATTAGTTATCAGCAGTCCAATTCCTTGGATTAATTCCTTAAATATTGTTTTTTTTTTAATTTACCACGAATATAGTGGTTTAAAAACTATTTATAAGAATATTGTGTTTTGATGGAGGGAAGTTGGCGACGGCGCCCGAGACTCAGAAAATCGAGTTTTTAAGGATAAAGCTAGCGACGGCGCCCGAGTCTCGGGCTTTGGCGTCGTCGCTATCAACTTTTGTTTTTTTAATCCCCTTCCTCCCCGCCCTCTCGCACTAGACCACCAGACCACCCGACCTCCTTCATCCTCCATCCCAGCGCCGACGCCAAAACTAGAGCGGCGACGCCGAGAGTAAGAAGGCAGCGCCTCAGTCTCAGGCGGCGGCGCGAGGAACTAGGCGAAGGCGCCCCAGCTACAGCGGCGGCGCGGGAATGTCCGACGACGAGCAGCAGGCGCCCGACGGCAGAGGAAGAGGCCGAGGGCGGCGTGGCGGCGGCGGCGGCGAACGCTACAGGAGTGAGTGTCGGCCTTCTTGCCGGCGGCGACTTTTTTTTCCGGCGACAAATTTTTTTTTATGTTCTAATATATATATTTTTTTCCAGTTCCTAGGCTTATTGATTCTTGTTCGATGAGACCACCACCTGCGACAATCGATACTGCTCCGATGGATCCGGAACTTCTTTGGGGGCGTGGTCACCATCGGATTGACGCAGTTTGGGCAAATGAGGTAAGTTTTGTTCAAACTATTTGTATAGTTTTATTAGCTGAATAATAGAATAGAATAGAATAGAATAGAATTAAATTAAATTACGAATAGGATTAAATTAAATTAGGAATAGAATTAGATTAAGTTACGAGTATATTATATTAGAATAATTTTAGTTAAGATATATAAATATAAATATTAGGTGAATTGAAGGAATTGAATTAATATAGTTTTGTGCATTAATTATAGGCTGGTGATCGACCTTACCACATTCGTCATACGAGCAATTTAGTTCGATACAATCCACTGTACCTGCCGTATCTCGTCGATTTGCAAATTGCTTGCATAGTGTCGCATGCACCACCTCCACTCCCAACCTCTTCCGATGTTATTCATGGCTTCATAGAGTCCTGCATGTCTATCTGAGATGATGCATACATCATTTCGATCAGTCAAACCCTGAACGTGAATTATGAACCATGGCCAACTATCAGTATTCTCACTCTCCACTATGGCAAATGCAATTGGAAAAATCTTCTTCCGGCCATCAAATGAGCTCGCCATGAGTAACACTCCTTTATACTTCCCAGTAAGAAATGTTCCATCAACAACCATAATGCCTGGACAATTCTTGAATCCATCTATACAAGGTCCATAAGCCCAGAATACTCGCTAAAATATTGAATGACCTGGTTGAGTCGAAGGAACTCTTACCCAATCAATCACCGATGTTGGCATTTTTCTCTTGACCACCCGCAAGAATGTTTGCAAAAAATCATAGGATTCTTCCCAATTTCCATGCAACTTCTCCAATGCTCTTTGTTTCCCATACCAATCCTTCTTGTAAGTAACTTGCATATTAAACTTATCTTTCAACTCGGCCTGAACAGTTAGAACACTCAGATTTGGTTGGGCACGTACCAAGTGTTTGACGGCCTCAGATATCACGTCGACATCAAGATGGCGATGATCCGTCGGTTGAGTCGTACTGCTACAAGTATGCACCAACTCGACCTTTCTCACGCTCCAATCGCCTCCCACATCTCGACATCCAAACCGCACCATCCAAGGACATTTGTCCTCCTTGTGCATCAAACATCTGATCTTCCAGATTGAAGGTGACGACTCCACCACGTTATACTGAAAGTTGCGTTGTAGTGCATAGTGTTTAATCGCCACCTGTGCAGCTTGTTTCGAGTGAAATATTTGCCCCTTGTAGAATTCTCCATCAAAACCACCAACAGTAGACCCTGGAATTACGCCATATGAATCAGCATATGATAATTCCTCGTCCTCTTATTACCCTGCAAGTAAAAATATGGAGGATAATTAGGTTGTTCTCCTCCCTCCCCGTCGTCGTCGTCGTCGTCCTCCTCCTCCTCATCATCGTCTTCCTCATCTCCGTCATCACCGTCATCATAATCATGATCGGATGGCATGCTCCATGTGTCATCACCATCATCATCGTCTTCTTCTCCACCCCGATCCTCACTGAGCTCAGCATGTATCTCAGCACCCAAACAATAAGGATTTTGTGCCATAAAATTCCAAAGCACATTTAAGCTATCATCATCGACAATAGGCATTGCATAATGAAATAAAACACCATTCTGCCATTCTGGAAGACAGTAGGTGAAACCTGTAATCACAACACTATCTTGTACTGTTTTGTCTCTAATCCGTATTCTCCGAATTAGATGATCACAAAGTTTCTGAGAGTTCACCCTGGATGGAATAGTCATCTGGAAACTTAGACCACCAACAAAATGGACACCCAAATTGTCTTCTACTTTCTCTGATCGCCACCGAACAGCTAGTTCAAATCTTCTAAAACCACTACATAAAAAACAAACTCACTAATTACTAACTGGACAAAATCATTATGATGAATACATGAAAAAAAAAATACGACTCTTATCTGTTATTAGCCATCTTCCCAACAACCAGACAGCAACACCAGAGCTTCTTTCAGAACTTCTTTCAGTTTTTTGGTGATGAAGAACCGAAGGAAAGGTGCAGTATATATGGTGATGGGTGGTGCTGGAGTGGAAAAAAATGGCAGCGACAAAGCCCCAGTCTGGGGCGCTGACGCTTTTACCTTCTTAAAAGCGACAAAGCCCCAGTCTGGGGCGGCGCCGCTGTGTTTTTTTTGTTAAAAAAGCATCCAGCGGCAGCGCCTGAGTCTAAGGCTTTAGCGCTTTAAACATATCAAAAAACACAATATTATTGTAAATAGTTTTCAAAACACTATATTCGTGGTAAATTTAAAAAAAAAACAATATGTAGGGAATTAACCCCAATTCCTTTACTTAATCTTACATATAGTTTAAATGGGTTAGTTGCATGATTGGTCACTGAAATTACAAAAAACGTTCATGTTTGGTCACTGGAAATATTTAAATCTAATCTTGGTCACTCAAATTAGTTAAATGGTTCAAGTTTGGTAACTCTCTGTCCATTTCCGTTAACTCTAGCTTACATGGCAGTCAACTTTCATAGTTGACCGTTAAATATGTGACGTGGCAATTAAAAAATTATTAAAAATAAAAAGATAAATTTTTATATTTTCCACCTCATTATTACATTCATTAAAATAAAAAAATAAAAAAACTAATTTCACTTCTACACACCCCAATACCCTATACAAACACACCATATATATATATATATATACACCAAAATCTCATTCCTGGTGTCGTCGGAGTTGGTTTCATGAACAACAATTCTTGCTTCTTGATCAACAATCTCGAGCAGCAACAACAGAAGCAGCAGGAGATGGCAGAGCGGAGCATGGAATCGATCCGCCTCTCGAACTCAAGAGACCACCAGCGAGGGAACCCTCTCATCGGATCGGTCGGGCGGTCGCTCGTCTTTCGTCATGACGCAGAGAGCAGCAACACTACGGCGGAACTCAACAGCGAGGGAAGCCCTCCATTAACGGGGACTCGTCCATTGGCCAACAAGATCAATTCATGCATTCGGAAGTCGATAATCTTTGTCAAACCTCCGTCTTCCCCCCGCTTCCCATGGCCCCTCCGATCTGCTACCAGAAAGGAGAGCTGATTGGGTGCGGCGCGTTTGGACAGGTCTATATGGGCATGAATCTTGATTCCAGAGAGCTTTTGGCTATCAAGCAGGTAAATTGGACAATCTAACGTAAATTTGGCCCTAATCGCGCAATCTAATTCTTTTCTTTACCGGCTGCCTCACTTTGATTCGTTTATGAATCAGAAAATTCCTATTCCAACGACAATGGGGCAATGGCGGGCGGCCGGGAGCTGGAGACAACGATTGTTGGCGAGAACGGGGGACTTTGAAAAGAAAAGGCGGCTGATTGATGGAGACGGCGACGGATTGGAAACAGAGAGATGGCAACGGTGATTTGTGTTTCCTGAGGCGGAGCTGTAGCTGGAGGGCGGCGATTGGCGATGGAAGTCACTGACGGCGACTTGGAGCTGGAAGTTCACGGCGGCAATGAAATGGGAGCCGCGGTTGCAGATGGCGACGAGGGATTTGATGAACAAGGGAGCCGGTTAGTCGGACCGGCGCCTGGAGAGGACAACGACGATGAGTCTCATCCGGCAATGAACAGAGAATATAGCGGCAACAGTGATGTTAAAGGCGGATTATAAATTTTAGGTTTTTAATGAATATGTAATGAGGTAGAAATTATTATATATATATTTTTATTTTTTAATAGCCACGTCACTAATTAAACGGTCAACTATAAATATTGACTGCCACATCAGCAAAAGATAATGGAGACTAATGGTGAGTGACCAAATATGAACTATTGAACTAATCTTAGTGACCACGAATGGAATTAAATATTTGTAGTGACCAAACATAAACGTTTTTTGTAAACTCAGTGACCAACCTTGCAATTTACTCTAGTTTAAATTTTAGTCAGCTATAGCCCCTCATGACTTCAATCTATCTCCTTCCCTGATAATATTACTATATATAAAGCTCAAGTATGGTTATTGTTGCATAAGCAACTACACTTTGATACCCCAAATTTAATTAAGTTACAACTTATTCATTATAATTTACATTTTACATTTTGATACCTCAAATTTAATTTAAATGTGAAATCGTTGTTTTGGTATCTAAAATTTATGAAATTTTCATACCTACAATTTTTTTTAATGTAGATATGGTGCAATGTTTAGATTTCACTTGAATCCAATTCACCAATCCATGAATCCAATCCACAATAACATAAAAGTATAAATTTAGTATGTACCATACACAAGTTTGGTTAGTGTATTAATTAGGTTATAACTTAGTCAATATAATGTACACTTCACATTTTGATACCCCAAATTTAATTAAGTTACAACTTAATCACTATATTTATATTTTATTTATAGATACCCCAAATTTAATTTAAATTTGAAATCGTTGACAATTATGTTTCGCTATCTCAAATTTATGAGATTTTCGTACCTACAATTTTTTTAATTTATATATGGTCCAATGTTTAGCTTTCACTTGAATCTATGAATCTAATTCACCGATCCTTTTGAACCAATCCATGAATCCAATCCATCATAACATAAAAGTAGAAATTTAGTTTGTACAATACAAGTTTGGTTACTGTTTTAATTAGGTTATAACTTAGTCACTATAATGTACATTTTACATTTTGATACAACAAATTTAATTTAAATGTAAAATCACTGAATATTTATGTTTTTGTATTTAAAATTTATGAGATTTCGTACCTATAATTTTTAAAATTTACATATTGGTCCAATGTTCAGATTTCACTTGAATCCAATCTACGAATCCTTAAACCAATTTATGAGTCCAATCCACCATAACATATAAGTATAAATTTAGTTTGTACCATACAATTTTGGTTACTTTTGCATAAACAACTGCATTTTGATACCCCAAATTTAATTAAGTTACAACTTAGTGACTATAATGAACATTTTACATTTTTTATGTCTAAATTTTATGAGATTTTTGTACCTACAAAATTTTAAATTTACATATTGGTCCAATGTTTAGATAGCACTTGAATCCAAGAGTCCAATCCACCAATCCTTTTGAACCAATCCATGAATCCAATCCACCATAATATGAAAGTATAAATTTAGTTTGTACCATACAAGATGTTGTATTACTCAACTGTAGGAGAAGATTTGACAATTTTCTCATTACGTGATATATTAAATAAATGATAAAAGAGAGACGACTCTAAAATATTGCAAGATCGAATTTATAAACTTATATAGTACATTTACGGGTACTAAACAAGCTTCTACTAACTACATGTAACAAAATATGCGACATCTACATAGGCGAATGTCAATAAATTGCTACGTTGAAAAGGTCGACTGTTGGATTGACGGCCAACTAAAAGAATTTGTCAAAATTTTTCCATCATCTACTTCCTCTTCGTTTTATTTTTCACTCGCCTTCCATAACCCTAATTAGTATACTATTTTTATTTATTATAATCACAAGTATGAAACGAATCCATACACGACTCACCAACAGTCGAGAGAATTAATAATAGAACCATGCACCACAAACTTTTTTAGCTCAATATCGAGTACAATTAAAAATAAATATATATGGTTATTAATTATTAAAAAATCGTCATTTTTCATGACGAGATTTGAAAACGTGAAATTTTAAGCGAGTTCCAATTTGCATTCCTTTCGCCTCTCTCTAAAGTTTTTCTTTTTCACCCGGGATATAATTTTCAACAGTTATACATGAAATGTTTGGCTAGGCATCTACACATATAAAATAAATTGTTTCTTATTTTCCATAAAAAAATAAATAATTATTATCATAAATACATCACCACAAAAGGAATAAAGCCTCAACTAAACAAATTACAGTTTGGTACCTAAACTTAATAACATTTTAGATTTATAACACAAATTTATTTTTTGGCATATAAGCCCTCAAAATATTGATGGAATATTACATTTTAGTACCTAATTTTTTGTGTATTACATTTTGGTACCTAAATTTTTTAAATTCTTCAAATATGTCTAATATTTGTATGTGTAATAAAACACCCTCGAATAAATGGTTATCCATACCCAACTCATACACATATAGATTATGAAAGTAAATATCCGTACTGTACCAAAATTCATCTACAAACTTCCAAACCCATATATACGTTACCCATACCCTACCATAATCAAAGTGTCTACTTGGGGTTTAGGTAAATATCACTTATTAGACAAAGTTTTAAAATTTGTTTAAATTAGATGCTCTCTTCTCAGTCAATATATATATTGTCGAGTCAATATTATTTAACAAAATTGCTAACAAAAAAATTAATTTTAGACTAATAATAATAACAAAATACTATAAAGGGTCACATAATACAATGCCCATAGGCCATCTCCGCCCGCGACAAGGCGCGACATCGCCACCTAGTTATAACTAATAACATTACTCTTCCATTTGACTTGCAAAATAGAAAAAAATCTAAGTTGTTGAGTTAGCAATTCAATAAGATAATTTGGTATAATTGTTTCATATTGAAATAATTACACCAAATTGTCCCATTTACCTATACAAAATCCAATAGAGACTTTATACTTTGAAAAATTTAAATTGATTCTTTTTAAAGCAATTTTAAAATGAAGCAATACAACCCATTTCTCAATCACTTCATTGTCTTTTTTTTTCTCCTCTATCTTCCTATTACATTTATCGGGTCAAATTTAGTAACCTCCTTTATTGTAAAGGAGCTTTTGAGTTGTTGAACCAAACTCCACTTGATAATGTTCCTACTTCCTAAGCAACATCTTTTGGCAAATTGAATAAATTGTTCCCATATTGCCTCAAGATTGATATCCAAATAAAAATAATCCTCATATGCTCCTTAATTCATATCTATTGATAAGTTGATTTGGCATAATTGAAAAAAATTGCCCCGTTTAGCTATGCGAAAATTTAATAGCTAGAGCAATTAGGCTTGGGGCCATTTAGATGATGATTTTTTTAATGAGATCAATTAGAAAATTTAAGTTGCGAGAACGGATCAGATCAGTAATTATGAGTAACCCGTCCACATTATCATAACATCAGTATCTTTCTTTGAAAGTCTTTTATCTTTTCCCCTTTAATCTATAACGAACGATTTCTCTCTCGTTTTAAGTCGAAATTTAAACTTTTTGCACAAATAAATCATATTAAATGTGCATTTTAAAATGATATCCACTTTGATATATTTTTAGTACAAAAAAATTGAATAATATTTTACCAGTCATTACCATATTGTATGCTCCTATTTAATACCATATGGTAAGAAAGTGTACGATGATGGTATGAACATACCAATATGGTAAGAATGTTGAATACATGATAGTAGAAGTATACTAACTGTCATTTACGATTTTCATCTTTGTTTACTACAAGTTACCACAAGTTACCACCCACATACCATTGTGGTAAAGTATGGTAATTTTTGGTCCAGTATTTTTTCACCCAGAAATTTGTAGATCCAATAGATCATGATGAACTCGTTCCTTTTGAGCAAACGTTTTCAAAAACGACTTAAAAACGAAGAAGTTACCATATGGTATGTAGTTGGTAAAAAAATTCTTGAAATATATTGAAAATTGATCTCATTTTGTAGAGCACAACGAACTCGTTCCATCTGTGAAAAAAAATATTGAAATCCGAGTTAGAACGAAGAAGATAAGAGTCGATTAAGAAAAATAAAATACCTTTAATTGACAACCCTTAGATCTAGATTTTTTGGGTCCACTTAGATCTAAAGGTCCAGTTACTCATAGTGTCGACCAATTAATGCATCCTTATTTCGTGTTGACCAACAAGACTACTATTTGGCCGAATTGCTTGACTCATCATGTCATCCAAACAATGTTAGAGAATTCTCCATTGTTGCACTTTGATACGGTTATAGTTAATTGTATAGGTGTCAAAACATGACCCGATCCGAGTAACCCGCCCAACCAACCTGATCCGCGGCCCGCTTACAACCCGATTGGACTAAAAGTCAAAGACCCGCAACCCGCCCGACCCGTAACCCGATTGACCCGCAACTTGCTTGACCCGCAACCTGCTTGACCCGCAACCTTCTTGATCCGAACCCGCTTGACCCGCAACCCGTTTGACCTGCAAGCCGCTTGACCCGTAACCCGACTAACCCGAACCCCATTAACCCAACCCGAACCCGCCCGATTGGCACGAATAATACTACATAATATATTTTGGTGCATAAATATATATTTTAGGGATTCGTTTCACTTTTCTCGTCTCTCTGCCTTTCAGTTGAACCAAGTAAACAACACGTTCATATTGTAACAGATTAATTATGTATACTAGTTGGCTCCTGTGATGTTTTTTTGAATTTAAGGTACACGGTTCAAAGCCTAGCAGGAGCATATTTTTTTAGACCATCATTAAAATTTATTTTATGAAAAAAAAAACATAAAATTCACTTAATTTATATGGTATACGGATACAGTACATATAATTCACTTAATGTATAGGGTATACGGAATACGGTAGTGGACTCGTGGGTTAGAGTTTAGAGGATTAGGACGTATGTTCTTCTCAATAACTGAATACAAAATTGATTTAACTAACATTCTTCACATAACATACGTTATAATTCCAAATACCTCCCTTTAATGTAAAATGATGCAATTGGCCCATTTCTCAATAGCTTCGTTGGATTTTTATTTTTATTTTTCTATCTTCCTAATACATACACTAGGGTTTTTTTGACAAAAGATAATCATATATTGATTCAAAAAATAGATAATTACATTATGGAATTCAACAAGGTCTGGAAATCAAAGAAACGACTTGTAGTCGGGTACAAAAAAGGGCCTTTTTAGCCACCACATGGGCAACACTATTACTACACCGACCTACAAATCGAACACTAAACCCAGAATGGATGGCAAAGTTATGCATAATTTCTTCAAGAATAGCCCCCATCCGGTTATCGCTGGTATCTGCCTGATTAATCTTGTCGATGATCACTATAGCATCACCTTCAAACCTTATTTCCGTGAAACCGTGGTCCAGACCAGACACCACATAATAGCCTCTCGGAGCACAAGTAATTTGACCACCATAGGGTTATCAATCAATGGAAATTGAATCCAATACATACACTGGGTTACATTTAAGAGTTGTTTGCTTTATGGATTTTGTGATGAATTTGTGTATCTATCATGGACTTTGAGCGAAGTCCAAAGTTTGCTTAATGGAATTAGGGTAATCAAATCCGTGGGGTTGGATTTATTATTGTTGTCTCTTATAGGGCCAATTCTTACTTGGTAGGGTATATGTTCTCTCTATCTAACACAGACTTATATATGCTTTGTATGAGACCAAATCCACGGGCTTCACGGATTTGCAAGTTCCACCTCTTGAGGTGAGATTTGAACGATGGATTAAAATCCATGATGATAGTTTACTCTTCTACACTCACTTATTTTTTTTAGTTACAAATTTATACTCATATTTTATTTCAATGGGCATGCAACTAATGTTGTATTTTATTAAAATATTATAATTTATCATTGTAATGTCATATTTAAGTATAATGATTTTATTTTATTTATTTGTAAGGGCAATAAGATGAATTGTATTTCATAAAATGATTTGAAATATCTCGTCAAAAAAAAAAATGATTTGAAATATATACATCTTTGTCACCGCTTTGAATACATCTTTGTCAGCTTTAAATACTTCTTCGACACATTTGAATACTTGTTCGACGCCTATGACTACATGTTCGTTTATGTGAAATATTTGTTGGGATTTTTTGAATTGTTTATTAGTGCATACATTTATATATTTGTAGTTGAATTATTAGTCCACAAAGTAGCGGTAAAGAGTAAAATCTAATTATATAAAGGTAACAAGGTAATTTGTATTTCAAATTCGCAAATCTAGTTAAACAAAATCCATAATCAAATCCAATAAACAAATAATAGACTTGTTCAAATCGATAATGCCCCAAAATCCATCATATATCCATAATTTTTCAAAAATTAAATTTTATCAAAACTCTCATTTTTCAAATACACGAAATAAACGACCCGTTAGCTAATAACAAGAAAGGCGCTTTTGAGTTGTTGAACCAACCTCCACTTGATTACGTTCTTAAACATCTTTTTGCAAGTTGAAAAGAAATTGTTTCCCATATTGCCTCCAGATTGACATCCTAGTTAAAATAATCCTCATTATCTTGCTTTCTTCTTATCTTTTTAACTATTAGCATTTCCTTTCAATTCTCTCTTCCCCTCCATCTGACAAATTTCATTGTTATTTTGCTGCCCTTTTATTTCTCTGTAAAAAAATTCCTTTGTTTTTGGTTTCCTTCATAATCTTTGAACATATCTGGTTGATGACCCTCTCTAGAATATTTCATAAAAGTGTTTTTTAAATCATCTATATACGTTCCTTACATTTAGGCCCTCTTTTCTTCATTGTTGAATCTAAACTTTGCCCCCAAATTTCATCTATTGTTATTGTTTGTTGTTTAACATCATACAATATTGTCGCATCAATTGACGAATTAATGTGAAAATTTCGGTATCAAGGTCTCTTGCTAATAAAACAATGTAATTGGAGGTGCAACCCTAGGCTAGCTTCCCTATCGATTCTTCGATTAGGGCTCTGCTACGCGCGATCCTTCCTGATTGAGAGATATCGTCAAACCCTAACGTAAAAAATCGACAAGTAGTCCTGATGGTTGATTCATTAACTCGAGCTCGTGTCATCTCGAAGAAGACGATAAAAAGGCTCGACGTGAGAGCCATCATCCCGATCCATGCATGCATGATTCCATTGAGCCGGAAGAGATTTCTGAAGCTGCTGGGGATCAAGATGGCGTGGGTTGGTGTTATGGGCTGCATTTGCTCCAAAGGAGGTCAACAACCCAAAAATGGCTACGTAGATTGCAACAACAATGGCGGCGGCGGCAAGAGCAAAGGCAAGGGCAAGAAATGTTCCAAGCGAAGTGCGTCCAAAAGAGACGAGGAGATCGACACCGACGAAGATTACGACGGAGGGCTTGGGATCTTCCCCTTGACCCCTAACAACGATCAGGATGACAAGAAGAAGAAGAAGAAGAGCAGATCCAATCATCATTTCTCGAGCGTGGCGAACGGGGAGAAAGCTGCTCCGGTCGTCGCCGGCTGGCCTTCTTGGCTGACTGCGGTGGCTGGGGAAGCAATCAATGGTTGGATCCCCAGAAGGCTTGATTCCTTTGAGAAGTTGGAAAAGGTTGGTATTTATATATAACGGTAATGTTAATGTATAGAAGGAGGTTTCTAAATTCAATTATGTTAATTGCTTTCATTTTGTGTGTAGATTGGACAAGGGACGTATAGTAGTGTTTATAAGGCACGTGATTTAGAATCTACGAAGATAGTTGCGCTAAAGAAGGTTCGGTTTGCGAATATGGATCCGGAGAGCGTGAAGTTCATGGCGAGAGAAATCATCATTCTAAGGAGGCTTGATCATCCTAACGTGATGAAGCTTGAAGGCATTATTACCACGACAACGTCTGGTAGCTTGTACCTGGTTTTTGAGTACATGGATCATGATCTCTCTGGATTGTTGTCAAGTTCAGGATCCAAGTTCACTGAATCACAGGTAATTGAAAGATCAATAAGTCTATCGTAATTGATGAATGTGATTGTATAATAAAAGGGTGTTTCTACTAGTAACAAAATTTCCCATTGTAGATAAAATGCTACATGAAGCAGCTGCTCACAGGGTTGGCCCACTGCCACAGCCGAGGAATCATGCACCGCGACATCAAGGGAGCCAACCTCTTGATCGACTCCAAGGGTAATCTCAAGATCGCTGATTTCGGACTAGCAGCTTTCCGAACAACCAAACCAACAACCGATAACCGAATCGATAAGTCTTATCGTCGTCAACTGACGAGCAGGGTGGTGTCGCTGTGGTACAGGCCTCCGGAGCTCCTGCTCGGCTCCACGGACTACGGAGTAGAAGTCGACCTGTGGAGCTCCGGGTGCATACTGGCCGAGCTGTTCAACGGCGGGAAGCCGATCCTGCCCGGAAGAACGGAGGTGGAGCAGATCCACAAGATCTTCAAGCTCTGTGGGTCCCCCAGCGAGGAGTACTGGAAGACGTCGAAGCTGTCCCACAGCGCCATTTTTAAACCTCGGCAGCGTTACGAGAGGAGGGTTGGCGAGACGTTTAAGGACATGTTGCCGTCGTCGGCTCTAGGGCTTGTTGAGGTGCTGCTTTCTGTGGATCCTGAAAATCGTGGCTCCACGGCTTCAGCACTTGCTAGTGAGGTACGTAGGTAAACTGTGAAACTGCATGCATGCATGCAACTTGTTAAATATGGCTTCGTATATGATCCACTAAAGGAGTTGTTAACTATTGTTTTGATTAGTTTTTCACGACAGAACCTCTTCCTTGCGAGCCATCTAGCCTGCCCAACTACCCTCCAAGCAAGGAATTCGATGTCAAGCTCCGGAAAGATGAAAACAAAAGGTTTCTTCCTCATCTTAATATTGGGTATACTATTGATAATTAATTTTTCCGCAACAAATTTGAGATCAAACTGTTTATGACATAGTATCATAGTTCTTTTACTCTATATGATTATTTATTAGAATCTCCACGATACCCAACAATATTAAGATTTGATTAAAGTACAAAATATAGTGGGCCTGACAACCTTAAAGTCCGTGATGAGTTTGCTTATAAGATACACGCACGTACGATAAAGTGAAATAAGATATCAATTCTCAACAGCTCTACCAACTAATGAACCGAACTTTGGGAACGCAGGAAAAGAGTAGCAGGAGGTAAAGGCAAAGGAAGGGAATCAGAACGGATATTCACAAGAGGGGCTAAAGTCATTGCAACTATTAATAGTAATATAGACGTGCATATCTCAGCAAAGGTAATTATTTATCAGTCTCACACTACTGGTATAAGATCGATTCATTTGCAAAATCTATCGACAATTTGAAGTTAATGGAATCAACTGGTTCTTGATGTGGTTTTGGGAATTTATGTGGCCGAGGTCTTCTGGTCGAATACCATATATAAATTCCGTATTGATGAGCACATGGTGTCCGATGCCTGTGCAAATTTCAATCCTTCGTTTGATGGACCGTGTTAGTATGTGGTATAAGATTCATTATTTGAATGATTCGAATTGAACCAACCGGTTGTTTAACATATAAACCTGTCTGCTTTTGTACTTAGTTTATACTATTGGCATGGGGCTGGTACTTAATTGGTACTGATGATGATTAAGTTAATCTATGAGCAGAGGAGAAAAGAGCGGGATCAAAGGGAGAAAGCAACGACGAACAACGAAAGGTCGAAGAACAGCAAAGAGGCACATGATGAAGCTAACTCCAATGGAACCACATCAACAAGAAACGCTGCAAACTCACTTGATGAAGTAGCTGCAAGAAGGAACTCATCAAACCAAACAACATCAACAGCAGCTAATTATAAGCTATCGAGGTTTACGAACTCAGTAGTGATTAGAGACAACAGTAGCACCAAGGGTGATCGCTCTTCTGCCATGGATTCCACAAGGGTAAGATTAATTACGTACCAACTCCGCCCATATATATATATATCGATCTTCATCTAAGTAGGTGTGTGATGATTTCAGCTGATTGGGTTGATTGTTGTTGGTGTTTTGTGTACGTGAAGAAGGGTAGTATGCATATGCATCACTCGGGGCCATTGATGACCGCAGGAGGCAACATAGAAGAGATGCTGAAAGAACACGAGAGGAGGATCCAACATGCAGTCAGGAAAGCGAGATCCGCCAAGAACAACAACTTCCATGATCACGATGACGACATCACAGTTGTCAAGAACCAATTGCTTCCAATAACCCCAGTTATTGAGAGAAGTTCAATCGTGAATCATATATAGCAGACACTAACAAACAGTTGATGAGAGGTGTTGATGATAATGTTCATTATCACGCAATGGTTGAAACAGAGACTGTAAAATATACATGATTTGGCATATATATATATATGCTCATTAATTAATATTCTTTAATGTGGCTTCTAAGTTGAATGATCTGATCCATCTTATTGAGAGACGGAGGATGTCAACGTCGAACGACCAGGGGGGATTTGTATTGTATGAATGTGGATGTACTCATCAGTAATCCAATACAAGGTCTCGAAGAAGGAAAGTGAAGTCTTTTGACTTTTTCGCTCCGTCGGAAACGATGGGTCAAAGAAATAAATAAGAAATTAAATTGGGGTTTTGTTTGCATGTCTTTGTAACTAATGTGGTATCACTTGAACATAATTACAAACCCCCGTCACTATTATTTTTAGGATACTATGAATATATGATAGTAAAACGACATGTTAAGAAATTGTCATAAACAAATTTCTTAATTGCTCAACTATAGATTACCGTACCTGATCCTCACATATTAGACACTTTCTGGTTACATATATCACATACACAAATCTTATTCTGCCAAATTACATTTCCGGCATAACATAATAATAACAACATCAAACCCATTTCATCATTTTACTTCACCACTCATGCAACAACATACTGATCGATCATCATTAGATGCATGGTTCCCATATTTAATTATCACCCCCACTCAATCACGGTGCATAACCGCCGCCACCGCCACCACCAGTCCCTCCACCACCGCCTCCAACTCCAGCCACTCCGGCTCCGCCACCATACCCACCTCCCTCACCACCACCGCTTCCAGCCCCACCTCCATGCGCCCCTCCAGCACCTCCGCCACCACCCCCACCGCCTCCACTCCCGCCGCCACCGCCATACCCACCTGCCGCCGCTCCTCCACCGCCAGCTCCAGAACCACCTCCTTCTCCTCCACCATACCCACCACCTCCTCCTTTGGCGCCTCCACCGCCACCACCGCCTCCTCCCTTCCCACCACCACCACCTCCTCCCCCGGCCGCTCCTCCACCGGCTCCCCCTCCATGACCAGCACCCTCTCCTCCACCATACCCACCACCAGCTCCTGCCGCTCCACCGCCTCCACCCGCCCCTCCGCCACCGCCACCCCCAATCCCACCGCCGGCACCATACCCGCTCCCAGCACCCTCGCCACCCCCGGCGCCGTACCCACCACCATGGTCACCTCCGCCGCCTCCTCCGCCAGCACCATTCCCTCCCCCTCCTCCACCGCCGTACCCCGCTGCACCACCGCCACTGCCATACCCTGCGCCGCCACCTTCACCACTACCCGCACCGCCACCGTGTTCCGCAGCGGCGCCTCCACCGCCACCGCCTCCCCCGCCGCCTCCTCCCGCTGCTACGTAGCCGTGGACACTTCCACCGTAGCCAGCACCTCCGCCAGCGCCATAACCAGCACCTCCATCGAGAGTGAAGAGGGCTCTGGCTGCCGAGGCAATGCCCAAGCCCAGGAACAGAAAGAAAAATGCTCCGAGGAGCTTGTGATAAGTTTTCATGGCGAAGGAAAGATTGGATGTTGTTTTGGTTTTCGAAGTTGGTGTGAGAGATGGTTGGGTTTGGAGAGCGGAGGAGTGACGGGTATTTATAGGGAAATGGAGGTGGGGAAACCGCGTTGGCTATTGGGCGTGGGAGTGGTTGGAGGGCACATGGGGCAAAAAGTGTCGCTAGTAAGAGAGCCCACCATGATCGCCAGACTTGCGAAAAGTGCAGACTCAGTGCAACAGAGAACAGTGTAGTATTGGTATAGTACTCTCTAGTCCGCCACTAGTGTAGTGAAGACGATAGATAGATACATATGCGCGGGGGGGCCCCGGCCAAGTGGTGCTCATACGCTGTCCTCCAATTTCTGCACGCTGTAGTAACATCAGTGATAGTCAAGGTTGTCAAACCGGTTTATGTTAGTGCGCCGGTTTAGCAAGTGGAATGGTTCAACCGGTGGCACATACCGGTTTGTGCCGGTTCATGCCGGTCAATATTATTATTAAAATTATAAATACTCATATTTGAACATGACATTTAACGTCAATACCTAAGCATTTATACTTGAATCCAACAAATAACATTAATATTTAATTTTTATACTCATAAAATAAAGAATAAAATAATTTTTATCAATTAAATTCTCTAAAATAAAGTCATTTTACTTAGAGATTCGTATATCGATCATGCCGGTCATATCGGTGATGTCACGCCGGTTTTATGACCGGTACCGGTTGAACCCGGTACAACCGGTGGCACGCCGGCCGACGTGACAACCATGGTGATAGTAGGATGGCTGCCTGCCGGCACACCTTAAACCTAAAACAAAAATATACCGAGAATTTGTACACGAAAAGCCAGTAGTACTAGGATATTCTACGTTGTTGAAATCATGATATCGTATAATTGTGGTCTAACTATTTCCATATCGCAAAAAACTGCCTATCGAATCAAACTCTAGTAGAAGGTTTTTCCGATCGGGGCCACCAATATGATATGATTTTACAAACGGTGATACATGACCTGCCGTTATTAATCAAAGTTAATGCTCTGTGTACCACCGCATGTGAAATAACATTAATCGTTTCTCATTGATATATATATATATATATGGTGACGTTTTCGGTGCACTCACTTTTTTGGGTGCATTTAGTGCACTCGCTTTATAACCGCCATTTTAAACATGCGATTTATGTCAAAATGATGTCAATCATCACTTATGATGTGATGAACAATACCGCACATGAATTTGCACAAAAACCATTGAAGATTTATTTTAATTTGAAGGATTTAGAGTTTAGAGATTTAGGGTTGGGGTTAGGGTTTACAATTTAGGGTTTAGGGATAGAACTCAAAATTGGAGGTCTAGGGCTTAGGGTAATCCGCTGATTAGTTGTTATCAATGTTATATCATCATATTACACTAATTCTACAAATTCAAATTCAAAATCCGACACCTTAAAACTATTTTTGAGTTGGGTGCATTGAACACACTCATTTTTGTGAGTGCACCGAAGTAGCCACCATATATATATATATATATAATGGGATTTATTACAGGGTAAAATTTCAAGTTAGATAACTTGCATACATTTAGACCATTCAATTACATTAAGAACATCTTCAACCGTCGATTAAGAAAAAAAACTAAAAATAAAGATTGGACACCGGCAATGCCAGTTATTACTTTCCCATTAGTTACCGTTTATTTCTTTTCTTTTTTCACAGAACATCCGTTTATATATTTTATTTCCACATTTGGGTTCCTGCTTTGATTTTTTTTAAACCAAAGATAGCTTGCATTACCAAAAAACATAGATCCTACGTTTACAACTCCATACGGAGCCAAGCTGAAAAATCACAACATAACATATTATTAGCAGACAATACAAGAGCTTTCATTGCCACCATATGGCAACCCTATTATTTTGTCTTCCAACGAACTACACCATCACCCCCCAAATACTCACGTCTTAGAGCTTGGATCTCACGATAAAGGGCGTCACTTTGAGCATTAGCCATGTAACGCACATCGACCCCTGTCAATAAAAATCACTTTAGCGTCCTCCTGTATCCGCACCGAACTGAGGCCATTTTCCACACACCAATAAAATGTTTCCCGAAGAGCTATCAACTCTACCATCTCCGGTTCATAAATCCCTTCCAAGCGCCTAGCCTTAACCATTATTGACGCACCCGTCTCAAGCCTTAATGACCAATCCATAAGCCGGATGGGATTCCCAACACAAGGCACCATCAAAAGCAGATAGAATACCTATCTCTGAACCTAATTGCAACTCCACCACCTGTCCCCCCGACCAGCCGACCTCCCAGGGACAACCTGCGGGAGGGTGCCACGCCACTCTAGGATCTGGTGTTGCATCTGCCGCTGTAACACCTGCACATTGACTTGTTTGAAATCAAACACCATCCAGTTACGGGTCTTCCAAATCTGCCATAGCACTGCCACCATCCTGATGCTCGCCTCTAGCGATGATAACGCTCCATAATCCGACGCAAAAAAAATGACAAGATTAGATGATATACTCGTCCCGGATGAGTCAGCACCAACACCCATCTTCCCTGAACCTCCCGAGGGACCCCCTGCATCCAGCTTCTGTTTGCTGCCTAACTTTGCAGCCGAAAAAGGTTTGGGGGTAGCAGCCTTTATAGTCTCTTTACCCTTCCCCAACCTGTCCTCCCGCCGACCCGGAGCATCTCCTTCCTTTTTCTTCGAGCTAGCCCCGCCCTGACTTGAAGTCGAGAGTCCCAACACAACCTACCTAGAGATGGTTGTCCCTTTCTTTGTCGATCTCTTCCCTCCCTTGTCACGTTTCAGACTCTCATTCTTTTCATGCCCTTTGCCCCATTCCTCCATCGTCACCTTTCTAGATGGACCTCCAACATTAATTTGGATTAATCCAAACAGTCTTCTGAATTGGTTGTTGGTTATTAGCCAATATCAGGCTGCCATCATTCAGTTTGTAACCCTGAATTGTTGTTGTCATGCCTTAGCTAAACTCCTCATCACCTTCAGGATCCAGGAACTCACAGCTCTTCTCCATATGGCCAAACATGCCACAATGATAGCATAATTGAGGTAGGAACTCATAGATGAGCTGTCGAAATCGGGGCGCTCAATTAGTACGATATTGTCCGCTTTGGGCCAAACCCGCACGGATTTACTTTTGGGTGTCCTCCCCAAAAGGCCTCTCTTTGATCTACTTCCCAGATGCGGAACTCTCTTTGATCCGCCAAGCCCAAACGTGGATCTCTCCTGGATCCACCAAACCAGATGCAGATCTCAAACCCCGAGGTCACCGAGCGAGGGTCCACCGAACTGACGTCCACCGCCCCGAATCTGCCGAACCAGGCTCTGATACCACTTGTCAGAGCAGAAGCGTACAATCGATAATCCAAACCAGCACGAACGAACACAAATTTAACGTGGTTCACTAACACAATGTGTGCTAGCTAATCCACGGGCAGGGGGGAACAAATTTCACTGATTTGAGGAGAGTACAGGTTACAAACCGAATTCCAAACGGACAAACCAAACAAACTAACCCGACTGACCTATACTACAGATTAGGGAGATGAAGAGTATTTATAGAACTCTTCTCCTAATCCCAAACAGAAAACCAAACACCTTTTCCCAAACATACAAGGAAAAGGTCAAAACAAAACCCAATCCCAAACCCAAACAGAATAGGCCTAAAACACAGAAACAAATCCAAATCAAATTCAAGTCATATTCTAACATGAGCTATACCCAGAATTACCTAGCACTATCGTTTCTTGCGTACAACTTAGAATGCAAGGGTTCCAGCACATTAATCAGCACCCTTGTCGTCAATAAATGGCCCGGCTCGCCCCTGATGCCATACAGACCAGCATCAAGTACTTGATCAAGCTTGGTACCACCCATCCTCCTACTGAATGCTATAGCAGGTAAAAAAATTAAGTTACCTTACTTCAAGTTATCATAGGAATCCCTATTTATAATTAGATACGCCCTCTATTTCATGTATATACAATACATTGTTCTCTTCTCTGGTTAGTAAATGGTTAGAGAATGAGTTTTAAGGTTTTAAAAAATAATTTGTAAACTACCGTACAGATGAATTTACAAATATTTGATGTAGAGTTTATAAGTTGTCTATTCATATGTACAACCTTTTTGTAATAGTTCATCAATGACAATGTGGTACATATGATATACTTAAATGATCAAATATGCATCCTTATATAATGAAACACTTAAAGTATATAGAAATTTGTATCCTTCTCTCATTTACATTTCATTTCAATATGTAAAAGTAAGATAGTCGGCAGGTGTGTGTCGACTGTCGTCTGATGTATAGTACATCGAGGTGATTTATCTTAACTAATTTCATGCAGGTTTTTTTCATTTCATTATGCATGGTTATGTATAGCAAGACAAAATCATTTTTACTAAGTGCATTTATATTGGAAGTTCTAAAAAAATGAAAATAAATAATGCATATCGTGTTTCATATATTCGACATTGTATCATTTTGATGAATTTAAAATAATATATTATTACAAATGTATACTAAAAAGTGTGAAACCTAATTAACAAGCCACCAATTTTCCATATATACACCCAATAGGCTAATAATTTTCCATATATAACAAACCTTCTTGTATCCTTCTAACTTTTTGTTTTCCTTAGAGCATCTTCATCGGCTTCCCTTTTGGAATTGCTTATTGAGTGAAATCCTACTATGTGCCACTGTTTTTAACCAATTGCATTTATAGCATACAAGCATTCGAATAATATATTGTATAAATACATTAACTTTTAGAATATATTGTTTAGTAGTTGTCTAATTTGGAAAATGAAAAGAAAAGGTTGCATTTTATCCAAAAATACAATCTCACACAATCTAATTGGGTTAATTGCATGGTTGGTCACTGTGATTACGAAAAATGTTCATGTTTGGTCACTCGAAATATTTAAATCAATTCGTGGTCACTAAAATTAGTAAAATCGTCCAAGTTTGGTCACTCTCCGTTAGTCTACATCCGTCTTAGTTAACCAAGACCGCTATGTGCTGACGTGGCAGACGAAATCGCCTAGTCAGTCTAATTTAAATAAAGGGTTAATACCTTAGTTTGGCCTGAACTATACACATACTTTCTACTTTGACCCGTGGTATTGAAAATTGCTATTCTGGCCTGAACTATGTAACAAACTTCCTCATTTGGCCTGGAGGCGGGTTTGACCGTCAAATTAGACGGTCAAACCTGTTGATCGTTAGTCAATGTCCACCTCACCTGCCACGACAGCTTTGAGGACATAAAAAATAATTTTTTTTTATTCCTGAATTTTGTTTTCTTTCGATTAATAAAAATAATAAATAAAAAATTAATTAAAAGAACGAAAATGGCCCATTTTTAGCAAATGACAAGAAAACAAAAACAAAAAATTAATATTTTTTATGTCCTCAAAGCTGACGTGGCAGGTGAGGTGGACATTGACTAACGGTCAACAAGTTTGACCGTCTAATTTAACGGTCAAACTCGCATCCAGGCCAAATGAGGAAGTTTGCTACATAGTTCAGGCCAGAATAGCAATTTCCAATACCACGGATCAAAGTAGAAAGTATGTGTATAGTTCGGGCCAAACTAAGGTATTAACCCTTAAATAAAAAATAGTAAAATCCAACCCGCCATGTCATTTTGTCCATCCCAACCCTTGAACCAACCCGACCCGGCTACCATGAACCAACCACTCAAACAAAATAAGGGTTTATCCCTTCTTCCTTTCCAAATCTGAACTCTAATTCTTCATTTTTCTTGCATTCCCTTCGACAACTAGGTCTGAATGATGCTTGAATCGATCGCCACAACAATTGTAAGGTCTTTCCATTTATCGTATTACTTTGACGATATCGATGATGAGAACCTTGGAATCTCTCTTTTCATTTATCGTCTGACTTTGACGATATCGATGATGAGAAAGAGGGATTCCAAGGTCTTTCCATTTCTTCGATTGGCCCTGAAGCAAAGTTGCTCCCCCACAAACAGATGATTCTCCTAATGCAAAGTGAAGGCAATCGAAGAGTTTGTGATGTCAAAGTGAAGACAAGATTTAGGATAATTTCTTTGATAAAAAAAAAAAGATTTAGGCAAGATTTAGGATAATTTGCCTGAAACGTTAAGAAGAGAGGGTCAGTTTGGTTTTTGAACTGGGTTGGGATAGGTTATATAGTAGTTTGACGTGGCGGGTCGGGTCATATGATGTGGCAGGTTAAATTGGGTGACCAGACATGTCTGTTCGCCACATCAGCAGAAAACTGACGCCGTTAATGGAGACATACGGATACTAATAGAGAGAGACTAAATTTGGATTGTTTTACTAATCGTAGTGACCCTGAATGGATTTAAATATTTTGAGTGACCAAACATAAACATTTTTTGTAATCTCAGTGACCAACCACGCAATTAAACCCAATCTAATCTTTTGGTTGAGATTGAGAATACATAAAAGAATTATTGATGTTCAATGGGAAAGGTAAATGCAAGTATTATGTCTCAAAATAAAATAAAATGATAAATTTTCATCATTACATGTATTATTCAAATACTTCCTCTAAAATCTCAGTCTCTAAACAACCCCTTAGTTTAGAATTTAGATGGTTGAGGTGGTAGACACAATGCATGTTTAGTCGATCACTTCTAACATTGAAAATGTTTCATTATAAAACCATTGATTCTCTTTTACTCGTAGAATCATCAGTTTGTGATCATAGATAGACCACCAATGCAAAATTTTGTGTTTTGAAATAAAATTTTGTATCACTTCCGGAAATAATCCTCATACTTGCAAAAAAAAAATTATATATATATGGTGGCGTATTCGGTGCACCCACTTTTTTGGGTGTACTCAGTGCACCCGCCTCATAATTGTCATTCTGAGCATGCGATTCATGTCAAAACGGTATCAATTGTGGCTTATGATATTATGAACAAGCACATGAATTTGAAAAAAAATCATTCAAAATTTACTTAAATTCAAAGGATTTAGGATTTAGGGATTTAGGGTTAGGGTTTAGGTTTACAATTTGGGATTTTGGGTTGGGATTCAAATTTGAAGGTTAAGGGGTTAGGGTAATAGATTGATTTGTTATGATTCTATGTCATATCATCATATTAGATCGAGAGTACTAATTCAAGTTCAAAATTTGATGTATTATGGACACTTTTAGAGTCAGTGCACCCAAAAAAGTGAGTGTGCCGAAGTAGCCACATATATATATATAAGCTAATCAATTTATAAGTTGTGATACACCCCTTAAACCCAAATTTTGTATATTGAGATGCATGGTTGGTAGAAAATTAAACTGTATTGCTGACTGTTGTGATGGATAATCCTCCGAGTCCTCGGATGTCGGATTATAATGAACCTTCCAAAATTCAGATTTTGGTATATTACACCTTCTATTAATTTATCTGTTGTGAGCTTCTAGATGCGATCACTAACTCCTATTGGTGAAAGATAATGCAAAGATGTATCCATAAACCATAATAGTGCTTGGCTCCACCACTTGCAATTTGTCTCTGTTTCAAATCAGGCGCCGGCATATTATGAAACGCGTTCACACCCGAATTTCATCATGCCTGCTAGCTAGTGCATGTTCATCTTCTGACTATGGGGGCTAAGCAGCCACTTTGCCGTTGAGATGTTCGGGAGCCACTCTGTTCTCCTTTTTTCATGTTAAGTGCCTGGCCAGTAAGCTGTAAGCAACATTCAACTAGTTGCAGATGTCTACAATACCCATTACGATCTTAAATAACTTGGACTCAAGAGTACATCAAATTAAGTGTCGGTCGAATCGATAACCAATCATGAGTTATCTACCTGCCAATCAAATTAAATGATAGACACAAACCAGATTATGTGTCAACCGAGCAAAGGATCAATCGAGTAAGGACCACCAAATCATCGACGAACTCGGGCTGACTGAGTTGCAAGTCAGGGACAATACATGCATTAAGTCAGTTTTGCCACTCTAATAACAATATGAAAGATCTGTGAACTGAATCTATGATAACTCTTTCGAGTTCATTAAGTTAGGCAGGTAGAGGCATAACAGTTTCTTCTACGGGCGATATAAACAATGTAAAAAACACATATTCAATGTCCATCCAACAAGTCTTCTGTTGGAAGAGCAAAATACCACGACTCAGCTCACTTATGACTTAACCACAGCAGTTGCTCTTTTCCTGGATTGGCTGTCCTTTCATTTGAACCGTTCCTGTTGCCTTGGTAGCAGTCGGCTGGTTACCCATTCTGCAAAAAAATTATGAGATCACTGGTGAGAAGTTCATGCATCATGGAATTGACACTTTCAAAAGCCATAAGAAATTTGAAGGGAATGAATCAGAACAACAATCATCAATTTCTACAGCAGGAGGGAACTTATGCCTCATCAGAGGTTATTGCTGAACAATGGTTAATTGGACCACGTTTCCTAGCAGCCAGCCACCAATGCATGACAAGTAGTGTATCATGGCTAGATATTCTTGTTAAAGATGTTAGCAGTATGATCAAGTCCCCAGCAATACGTATTTGCATTTATAATGGAGCTTTACGCTTCAAAAATAAGATTAGTATTCAGCTCTAAGTGAGAGTAAAAGCAACGAGCATAAGAGTTATACTTCTTCTTAATTTCTGCAGCCATTGTCAAGAAAGATTGCTCCACATTTATTGAATCTTTAGCACTGGTCTCAAGGAAAGGGATGCCAAGCTCATCCGCGAGCGCCTGCAGTAGTAATAATAAATCATTGAGTTGAGAAAATTGGACAGAAAGGACACCATTTGCTGCTAACAAGAAAATGACTTATTTCTAACACTTTGGAAGGACAGAATACACATACTCATTTAGTAGCTGCAATAAATTATTAGTCTTCTAATGTAGTTCAGTGAGATTTCGGTGAGGCGCATGGAATAGTCTCAAAGCAGGGTAAAATTTCCGAAGTCATCAAATATTAGCAGCCTTCATCCAAGCTAGTAAGAAGGAAAATAACTAAAGAACTTCCTACCACATAAGAATGAACATGAAGAATAACAAGAAGACAGCGTAACAGACTTAGAGTGCACCTGTCCTGTTTGCGTATCTACAACTTTGTTCTCAACTAGATCGCATTTGTTCCCGACCAAAAGTTTGCAGACACTGTCATTTGCATATCTGTCAATCTCACTCAACCACTGTTTGACATTGTTGAAGCTCTCCATCTCAGTAACATCATAAACAATCTGTTGAAATACAAATCCAAATGTCCCAAAGGGTCATCTCATGGCAAAATAATGATCATAATGTTCTGCACATAGAGACACATAGCCCATCAGAGTTTCTCACGATTATTCCATGTGCCCCTCGGTAGTAACTGCTTGTTATTGTTCGGAAGCGCTCCTGACCAGCAGTATCCCACTAGAAAGACAAAAACCAGAAGAATTATAAGCTTCTGTGACATTCTGAAACAATGGTATACACCACACCCATAAAAACTGCATAATATGAACATAAATTTCACGTATAAGAGCAAAAACTAGATAGCAGTTTGTACATCCAAAAATATATGCATCCCTTTCTTATTACCAAATCCAATGCACTATGCGACAGAACAAAAACAATGAGCCCATAAATAAAAGATCAGATTTTAAAATAGTCGAACAGGAAAACTCAAACCCCCGGGACATTGCAAATTGTAGTGCAATCAACCTCCCCATTTATACGCAATCCATGCCTTTTCTGCTTTACTGTCCCATAAATTGTCTACCGACTCTAGTATCAAAATTCATCTCAAAAGTTCATCAGATTAAAACAAGACAGGGGACCCGACAGAAAGAATACACGAGCAAGACGAACTGAAATCATACTGTCAAGTGAAAACAGGTCAGAGTACTCACAATCTGCAGCTTGATTGTCTTTCCATCCTGCTCCACTGTTCTGATTTTCTACAAAAGCCAATCAACATTCCAAAGTCTTTACTCATCATCTAACCTTATGCCATTTGGTGCAACCAAAAGGAACATACAAACAAAAGTTCGGTGAAGTGCACATTTCACTTCAGTGACAGGATAGTTTTTAGGGGACTCACGAAATCAACCCCAATGGTACTGATGTAGCTATCCACATAGGAATCATCCTGAAAGTGGACAACAAACAGAACCCACGAAAGAGGAGTCAAATTGGAAGCTATTGAACCTCTCAAATAGCCGCCAAACGATTAAAGAAACAAACTTTACACTGTAAAACATAAAACCCATATCCGCATTCCTCCAGAGACGACGAAACCTACCAGCATCGCTCAGTTTTACCCAACACCGCCAAGAAACCAACCCACAGTAACGAAAGCAAGAAACATATAGTAAGGGAGAGGGAGGTCAAAGGGAGTCAAAATTACAGCGAATCGAAGGAGCAGGCAGGATTTCCCAACGGAGGAGTCCCCGATTAGCAGAAGCTTGAAGAGGTAGTCGCTGCAAAGAAAAACAGATTAAAGTTGATCAACAATAACCAAGCAGAGAATCGAAGTACAAGGGGAAGAAGAAGGAGAGGAGACAAGGGATAAACGGGGGTACTATTCGCTGCCCATGATTGAAGATGGGTTTCGATGCAGGTGAGTTCTTCGAAGGGTTGAAGGAAGGGGAAAAGGAGTTTCCTCTTCGTGAAAGCAAAAGGGTAAAGCAGGAGAAGGGAAAGGAAAACAAGGCAGGGTCGTCTTCCTCTGTTGAGAGGTCGGGTTTCACTTTCACATGACATAAATGAGGAGTGCTTCCCCACCACACCACGACTTCCCTATCACAACTCTTTTTCGCTGTTTTTCTTTTGTTTTGTTTTGTTATTCTGGTAAAAAAGGTCAATTTTTTTAATTTAAATCTAAAACTACCATGGACTGGAAGTGCGGCGCGCGAGCGATGCGGTCAAGAGAAGGGAGGCCGGTACAGATAGAATCGAACCTGCGGTTGACTGGATCGTGTTTGGCCCGCCGATCATATAAAACGGGTATGGGCTTCTACCCATTTCTCTTGCTTACCTTCTTTCCATACCGATCTAATATAAACCACGTCGGCTAGATGGATAGTTTGCGTCAATGTTGTCAAACCGAACCGGAGTATGACCCGGTAATGCGAACGGCTCGCACTTTAGTGGTTCAACCGGCATTAGACCGTTTAAAAACCGTTAGAGAACCGGTACCTAATAAATGTTATCAGTATAAATAGTGGACATTTCTTAATCAGAGCTCGTCTTTTTCCTTCGAAATTGTGAAATGGAAATAAGGATTCAGTTTGAGAGCCCGACGTTTTCGGTTTATTTCAATTTTCTGCAATTTTTTTAATTAAATTTAATGGCTCATGGCAAAAACCGGACGTGCGGCTCGATCGGCTTGAGCGGTTAACTGACTCGGCCGCTCGTCAACCGCTACATAAAATCGAAACGGCTTTTAGACTGTTCCGAGCCGATTTTGTGACCGGGTGACGGTTTTACCGGTCGGGCCGAGCGGCTCGGCTCGGCTTTAATAACACTGGTTTGCGTATATGAATTTGATCTAATGTTATTATTGAGGCTAAATTGCAAGTTTGGTCACTCGAATTGCAGATTGCTACAATATTTCACGTTTGGTCACTCGAATTCGTTTATTCCATTCGTAGTCACTTAAATTAGTTCAACAGTCCAAGTTCTGTCACTCTCCGTCAGACTCCATTAGTGTCGTCAGTTAACTGCTGACGTGGCTAACAGAGATGTCTAGTCACCCAAATTTAACCCAAGAAAAAACATAAATTGATCAGCCACGTCAGAAAAACATGTCACCTCATATAAACACAACCCAACCCACCTAACCTAAAAAAAATCATTAACCCACCCAGAAATCGAACCGTGACCCATCCACCCTTCTTCTTCTTCCTCCTCTATACCCTACATCTGCCGCCGCCGGGGGGATTTCCCCTCGATCTCCCTGCTGCAGCCCCTGCGCCGGATCCAGATTCGGATTATTGAACAGCAAAAGGCGTTAGTGATTAGGAATTAAGAAATTAGGGATTTGGAATTTTGGAAGAGAAGAAGCAGGGAAGATTCGCGATGAGAGGGAAGCAAAGTCAGGTTTTGTCTTTGCAGTTTGATCCCAATCTCACTGCTTCTTCACTTGGGCTTAATTCCAAAAGCCCACAAGAAAATATACTGAGAATAGCAACAAGACTCAGATGAAAGCCCACAAAACTAATCAGCCCATTCGGCCTGTTTCAGGTTTCATCTTCTTCGTCTTAGCTGAAGGCAAAGGTGAGAAAGACAGAATGACAGGCTAAGAACAGAGGAAGGGAAAAACAGAGCAGAAATGGAAAGGACAAGAACACAATCCAATTTTAACGAGGTTCCCCAAACTACCGGGTCAATCCTCGTCCTAGACTCAGTACTTCACTGAGGTCTAGGAGACTCTGTTTTTTATTTATTTTCCTATCAAGCAAGAGAAAAATTAGATGCAGACTCAATAACACAAGAACTGAAAAATAAGAGAACAACTCCCCGGATCCCAATCCCAGACCCGTTACACCGTTAATCAAACAGATCCTATACCTCTGTTTTGATTAACCCACTCAAGCCAAAAGCCCTATACCGCTGTTTGCAAGAAGTACTCTTTCACAGGAAGCTCGACGCAGATATATAGTCTTTAGCCAAGATGACCGTTGCCTTTGAAATGATACAGAAAAGGAAGCTTGATGATTTTCCTATGATTCCGAGATTTCCAACTTTCCATCTTTCAACAATCTCCCCCTAAGTTGGAAATTGCAAGTTGCCGATGACTCCTACAAAACGAACAGACAAGCTTCTTCCCAAACAAACAAATGCAGCAGACAACAAGTATTCAACCGAAGACATTTAAGCAAGAAAGAGCATCCAAAACCCAACATCCAAAACACTTCAAAACCACAGCCTGGTCAGGCAAACCATAAAGCAACCGAGTTCAAAGCATCCAAAATTCATGACCACAGCCTGGTCAGGCAAACCAACACAAGAGCCTAAGAGAGAACAAAAACAATCTATCTCTAAGAGAATCAAATCTCCCCCGAGAAGCTGCTCCCCCTAAGATCAAGCAACTTCTTCGTCAGAGTCCGATCCATAGAGAGCTTGGAGAGCTGCTGCAAACGGTTCTAGTACTGGAGCATCATCATCACTAGGAGCAGAATCATCCGAGTCAGAGTCACTACTGATGATCAGGATGTCATCATCGTCACCATTCTCCCCCGCAACTGCTATTTCCAGGAGGTCCATAACGCCATCAGCAGTGAGAAACACTGAAGGTGTGATCACGCGGAAGGGATTGAGATTGACATGAAGTCGAGACAACAGGGTGGTAATGAGAGGACCAAACGGGAGAGGGGAAGTGATATTCACATCACAAAATGATAAGGCTGAGCCGAAAAAGAGATCAGCAAAGCTGAGCGGTATCCCGTGAGCAGCATGAACAAGTATCCAAAGCTCTACTGGCGTGATCAAGTTTAGATTTCCAGAGCGAGGCAGGAACACGCGAGAGATAAAGAAATGAAGGGCTCGAAGGGATGGTAGAAGAGCCGAAACAGGCATGGTAAGGTTGGGACCAGGACGACGACCAGAGAGCTGAAGGAATTCCTCAGAGATATCAAAATTGAAAAGCGCGAGCTCAGAAGCATCGGCGAGGTTTTCTCCTATGGGAGGAATATTGAGTATATGCTCAATCTCACCCACAGGAATGGTGAGAAGCTGACCAAAAACCAGAGTGGTGAAAAAACGAGAGCTCAAATGGGTAAATCGAAGATTGGAATAGAAAAATCGAACAGCATCAGGACAAATGACAGTGGAAAACGGATGGTTCAATAAGAAATTCCAACCAAGATTTTGAATGAAAGGGCGAACGTCAAGTCCTACTTCCACCAGTTCAGCAATCTGAACGTGATAGGAAGGGAGAACCTGTCGGTTTGCAAAAAACAGTTCATGGCGATGGGCATTTGCAGGAATGGGATCTAAGAACAAGGTGCCAGTGAAGGTACGCAGGAAAGGGAGAGCCATGACTAAAAAACCACTAACAGAAGAAGAAAAAACAAAGGGAATATGAGACGACAGGAAAAGAACCACTCTTATAAATAGACACGAATCTAACCCTAAAACAAGGCAACTACAGAACTTAACAAAGCAGTAGAGCAAATCAAGGCAAATCAACCATAAAAGCTAGACCAAAAAGGAAGTAAGAAACAAGGAAACTAAACCAGAAAAAGGCAAACAGAATCATACGGAGAATAAAAAAAAACAACTAATGTAAAGAAGGGAAAGCAATAATTAAGGATGAAGATCCTTAACCGTTTCAGACAATGTTGACAACGATCGCAGGCCAATGTCATAACTTAGAAAATGAAATCGATCAGCAGACAAAGGCTTAGTGAACAAGTCAGCAAGTTGGTACTCAGTAGAGATATAAGAAAGAGTGATAGTCCCTGCTTGAACTAAGTCTCTAATAAAATGATATTTGATATCTATATGCTTAGTGCGAGAGTGTTGAACAGGATTCTTGGTCATACAAATAGCACTAGTGTTGTCACATAGGAGAGGTATTGAAGACACACACAGACCATAATCTGAGAGTTGAGTTTTAAGCCAAAGCAACTGCGCACAAGAGCTACCAGCAGCAAGGTACTCTGCCTCAGCAGTGGATAAGGCAACAGCTGCCTGTTTTTTACAAAACCAGGACACAAGTGAAGTGCCAACAAACTGACAGCTCCCAGAAGTACTTTTTCGATCAGTCAAGCTACCAGCAAAGTCAGCGTCTGTATATCCGACTAGATCAAAATGATCTTGTTTGGCATACCAGAGCCCCACGTCTAAAGTACCTTTGAGATACCGAAAAATACGCTTAACAGCTGTCAGATGACTCTGCTTAGGTTGAGATTGAAAACGGGCACATAAGCAAACAGCAAACTGAATATCTGGACGACTTGCTGTAAGGTACAGCAAAGAGCCGATCATGCCACGGTACATTGATTCATTAACTGGTATTCCAGTTTCATCTTTGTCCAACTTAACATTAGTCGCCATGGGAGTAGGACTAGTGTTAACAGCAGTCATATCAAACTTACTAAGCATGTTAGACACATATTTTGATTGATGAATGAACGTACCAGTAGAAGTTTGCTTTATTTGCAATCCAAGAAAGAACTTTAATTCACCCATTAAACTCATCTCAAAGACATTTTGCATAGACTCGCAGAATGATGAACAGAGACTGGTATTAGTAGATCCAAACACTATGTCGTCGACATAAATCTGAACTATAAGAAAATCTGAAGACACGTGTTTTGTAAAAAGAGTCTTGTCAACTGATCCTTGAACAAAACCCTGATCACGAAGAAAAGCAGTAAGGCGATCATACCAAGCTCGAGGAGCTTGTTTGAGGCCATATAAAGCTTTATTGAGTTTAAAAACATGATCAGGATATTTCGGATCAACAAAACCAGGAGGTTGAGCTACATACACATCCTCCTCTATAACCCCGTTTAAAAACGCACTCTTAACATCCATTTGGAACAAAGGAAAACCCATATAAGCAGCATAAGCACATAGAAGTCTAAT